TGCAGTTTTAATTAACTCTGCAACTGTCTCTGGTTATTTGGTTTGGTTATCCGGTTAATTAATTATTGCTAGGATATATAAGTTCATAAACCATGCAACTTTGAGCATTTAGTTGTTTTGTTTTTAGATAGAGATATTATCACATCCTTGTCTGTCCATCCGTCACACCGCCACACATACCCTTAAGTATAGACATAGGATATATGGCAGTCTCTTAACTCTACTAGTCGGCTGTGGAGTTATCCGATAGAAACAATTAGTATTTAGCTTAGAATTCAGTTGATGAGGTTTATAAGAGAATAAAAAGAATGTAAGGTTGAGGTTGAGGGAGTGATTATTAAGTTAGATTGTGTTTTGATGGTTGATGTTTTAGGTGGTGGGACATATAGGAGCATGCCATACAGTTTATATATTGTGGCTTTGATTTGGTGATGGGGGTTTAAGTTTTAAGCATATGTGAGTGTATGGAAAGGAAAGCTTGGAGCTATACTTTCTTTGCTTAGCATTACAGAATTGAGCTAATAACACCCTGCCATGTTAAGGAATCATTATATGATTTGATTATCGCCCTAATCAGGGGAGGGTAAGACGAGGTTGTTATGGGACAACTGACAGTTGTTTGTCTGGAAAATGCACTCAATCCGGCATTAGAGGGAAAGAGAGGAAGGCTGAATTTGTTAACTAGTCTTTTGGTACAAGTGTTTAGATGGAACTGTAGAAGAGCTGTCTTTAACTAATAGTCCAAATTATTTCTCGAGTTCATTGCTAACGAATCCATGTAACCAAGAACCCAGGGCTCGCAGCTCTTAGCCCCACCACAACTTCATTGCCAACAAAACCTTACATATAATTAATTCTTTCTTTATCATTAAAGCTTTTGCAATTAGCTGGCAATATCTGTTGTGTAATTGTTCTGTACTTAATTATTTGCTGACCTTAATTTTATATGGGGGTTTGGTGGTTGGTATGAGTTTACTACTCACTTATTTAATTTATGCCTCTTAGTTGTTCGATTTAATGAATATACATATTGGTCAGGTCATGTAGACACTTGATTGTTTGTTTGACTTAAATTTTGTGTTCCGAATCGATTATGCAGGTAAGTTGTTGGAGATCGGATGCTGGATGCTTGGCACTCTACGGTTTCGATCTTGTTAATAAATATGTATGAAATTGTAGTGTTGAGTTGGAACAAAGAGATGGTAGGAAAGGAAACAAAGGTGAACAACAGTTTCTCCGGGTAAAAGATGCATTGTCATTTGCAGTTGTAAGGATAGGCTTTTGGGAATGCCTGGTGAATGCTTGTTGGATAATCACAATACAAAAAAAAGGAGAGAAATCCCCAGAAAAGAGAAAGTTTGGTGTTATTTTGTTATAAATACTGTAATTACATACCATTTTTTTAATTGTTTTTGTGTATGAATCACTGCCACTTTGCTTTCGTAATGAAGGTTCTCTGGTTCATTGTTGGTCTGTTTGTGGATTAATTGCTTGTCAATTAATTATTCTTTATTCATTTTTCTGTGCCTACAATTAGTTAAAGGAAGAAAAGTCATGTTAGGGGACGACGTAGATTTATTTTAAACACATAAAATTTTGTATTAAAAATGTTTAAATTATTGATTTGGAAATCAAACTGCAGTCCCATTGCATGAATCAGGGCACTGCCTGGAGCTTGGATCCTCCAGGTTGGCTACAACATAAAAATTACTTGATTTTTCCCAAACAATTAAATGAGACACGTGAAGAAGAATACGATCTCTCGCATGGTGTACCGAGTACAATAATCATGGTAATAAATATGGATTGATTTTTATTTGATTTGATTTCTTCTAAAAATATATAGTAAGTATTAAATTAATGTGTAATTAGCAAAACCAAGAAAGAGAATTCATTAAGTGGTTTCGGTGGTTAAAAAATATTATTTTTCTTAAAAGTATTAGGTTGTAATAATTATATATGTAGGATGTGTGCACGTTAGTAACGGCACGGCCCAAATTGTGGAGGTTGAATTTTGAATTCAGCATCGTTTGCATAAACTGAAAGAATTATTGTCACTTTTATAAATTGGTTAGGTCTGGGGATTGATTTAAAACCATCCACCATCCACTTCATTTATTTTTTCTTTTATAAAAGAAAGTTTACTTAGTATTCAAGTATACCATAACTTGTTTTTATTCAATCCAACCATCACATTCAAATCTTCCATACATTTTGTAGATTTGCTTTTTCAAGGCAATACCTTAACCAAACGGGTTTGCACCCAATAATTCATTATAAGTGGGCTACATACCTTTAAACAAAGCTAGGAAAAAAGAGCAATCAAGGTTAAAAAGAAACAAGCCTTAGTTGAGCTTGTTAAGGAATTGCAGAAATGGGGCAATTTGTTAATATATTTCTATCACGAGAATCGCCACAAAGTTAGGATCATGACAACGTGAACTAATTCAGTAAGTCTAACCTCTTCCATTATTAATGAAGTGAAAACTTCTTTTTTAAGGTCATGACAACATACTTTTATGAGGTTTTCAAAACATTTTTAAAATGTGATTCTCCAATAAGATTTTTTTTGCATTGTTTTCTCTCTCGTGAATATATACAAGTAAAGCAATGTTTTAGTAAAGGGTGGTGTTTATGCAGTGAATGGACATCAATTAATGTAACATCCTTTACTCGAACCGATAATCTTATACGAATGAAAATGTCATGTTTAGAAGTTAAGGCAAAAGTAGAATTAATTTAAAAGCAATTGTTGATTTTCCTTTAATATTCATGTGAATTTAATTCTTACAACTCTTTGACTACTACCTCACCACAATCTAATACCACCAACTGTGTTCATAGCCATGAATTGTAACAATTTCATAATTTCAATGGCATTAACATTTCAAGGCATCATGCTTATACAATGACATTTAAATTTGTAAATCATATACTCACCATGAATTTATCAGTCATAATTTTATCATTACAGGCAGACTTCATTTCTTAAACCTTAAAGGTTAATTAATGTTCATTTCATGTCATAAATCATCGTTATTCATATTTCATTCAGGTCTATTTTAAAACAGCTACTGCTGATCTATTACGATAATTTTGTTATTTGGCTACGAGTGGAGCTCTAAGAAACGGTCAAGGGGAATAGTTATTTGGCTTCTCCAAAAGTCTCAAAATTTGCTCGGTTCTAACTGCAGAGTTATGAGAGATTCATGTGGTTCTCGTGCATGCATGGAGGTTGGGATAACAAGGCGATCTGTAATCGTGAGTACATCACTCATTGCTTCTATTTGTATACTTCTTGAACAAAAATGAGAGCTAAGGATCTCGATGATAAGAAGATAGACAAATTCAGTAGCCGATAAGTTCGCTGAAATGGCAAAGGGTCACTCTGTTGGGGAAGATCATTTCATGACACCTCCACATGATCTGGAGTCCTTAATTGCCCAGGAAGCTACTGGGGGTTAGTTCCTCAGCCTTGACTCCATGTTCTGTATTAGCAAAAAAGAGATGACAACATGGTAAGTAAATGAATAGTGAGTATTTATTGTTCATGGTAAAGAATACAATTGACATGTCATAGAATCCACAATGTTCATACATATATTGTTTCGATTTCGGTCTAATTAGTGACAGAAAAATGTTGATAATTGATTGGACTTATGTTCACACAATAATGAAGAATTGACAACTATAACTGTGTTATAGCACTGTTGATAATAACATAAAAATTTATGTATCCGTATACCTAAAGAATATCATTGTCCAAATTGTTGGTATGATCATCATATTATTAATCATGGATTTTCTTTAATTATATGATTAAAGATATGTTTATATAATTATATTAGAATAGAATATAATTTATAATTTAATTTAATAATGATTAAAATGATTTTACAATTGTCTTTTTAGTATTTTAATTGAAAATTATTAATAAAAAATAAACATGATAAAAATAAATATAATTATAAGTAATTAATAAAGAATAAAATTATCTTTTATTGAAAATTCAGAAAATTAATAAACCTTGGGGTTAGTGGATTTTTTTATTATCAAATCTTATTAGAATCATTTTGATGTTGGTTCTTTAAATCCACATGGGATTACTATTATTATCTGATTACAAAAATTATTTTTATTGGCAATATATTAAATATCATGAGAATAAAAGAAAGGGTATACCTATTTTCAAGCTCTCCAACACTTGTCTTTTCCTGCAAACTTGTTTTCAAAATCCTTTCATTGTATCAATTAAGATTTCAAAAGAATTTTTACTTTAGTTAAATACAAAAACCTTTGTTCTATTTCCAAGTTCAAATTAACTCTCAGTTTAATATTTATTCTAAAAAAAATACTTTTTTAAGTGACAATGATGATGTTGATGTTCCTTTTGAGAGAGAAAATTTATATATTTTTCAATTTTGTTAAAATGTAAGGTTTTAGACAATTTGTAGATATTTCCATAATAGGAAAGAGAGAAAAATACAAAGAAATCTTACTTTCATTCATTATTGTAACTATGATTTATAAGTTTATTTTAAATGATAGTAAAAATAAAAATTAAACAAATGTACTAAAATAAGTGAACTTGTCTTTAAAAATAATTTTATAACAAAAGTAAGTTGATGAAACATATTCTTACATAACCTTATATTCTATCGATCAAATACGATAATCTTACGTTTCGAGTAAACGAATCAAAACAAAATAGTGTATTGTTCCCGGTAATCTTACATCCATAATCTTAGGCTGTTTCATACAAGTGTTCTTAGGAGGTCAGCATGTACAATCCTTTGTATTGATTATTCAGCATAGGAAAAAAATCAAAGAGGGGATTGCAAAATATGTACAATATTTGAGACACATAAGGAAAGACTGCCTGGTGAATATTAGTGATCCTCAAACTTTGAAGAGCTAAACTAATGCTAAACTCTAAAAAGTTTGGAAAAATTCCCTATGTCACGACTACATATATATCTTTGTCAAGAAACAGGCAGTGTTTACCTTAATCCAATGGTTAGACCTTTACTGAATTCAGGATTCCCTATGTGCATCATGGCCTCAAATTCTTTGTAATCTATCCGTCCATCCTGCAAAAACAATTCAAACACGTTCCAAATCAAGGAGGGAATGCAACTATGTCTGTGTCTTAAATGTTTTACATGGATTGGAGGGGCTTACATTGTCCTGATCCACTTCGCGCATTATTTCATCCAAGTGGATATCGTCGATGCCGAACTCTTGACAAGCTTTTTGAAGCTCATCCTGAGTGATGTAGCCACTTCCGTCTCTGTCGAAATACGAGAAAGCGGCCAAGAGATTCTCTTCTCTCTCGATCATGTTTAGATGCATTGTTGCAGCTATGAACTCTTGATAATCGATTGTACCACTGTTGTTTATGTCCGCCTGCGATTTCCGAACAAATGAAAAGAACAAAACTGAATTTGATTACAATGTGAAGGAAGCATAAATAGCATAGTCTTCTTGATGAACGACAAATCAATTTCTTAACACTTTGATGAAACATTAATCATTAAGGCATTTGCAGTGAAGGTGTTGTGAAATGAAACTTACAGCCTGCATTAGGGCACGAAATTCTGATTCAGCAAGATTAGCACCAAATCTTTGCAATCCAGCTTTGAGTTCTTCATAAGTGATTTGACCACTGTTATCTGTGTCAATAATCTTGAACATTTCCTTCAATCCGGCTATTTCTTCTTGAGAAAGTCTTTCTCCAATAACCTAAAAGAAAAAAGGGTCAAGTTATTTTAGCTACTAGGGATTGTTCATTGGAAGATTTTCAGAGTCTCTATTCTCATGTTACTTGGACTTGCGATGAGAATCGTATGTGTCCGACATGAATATGCTCAACTTTTTCTATGTTTTTTCCATGTATTTGGAGGATCTTACTCCCACATACATATTTATTTATGTGTCAGACACGAGTACCTTAACATAGATATTTAAACAAGTTTTGGAGACCGATGTTCGAAAGAGATAGGCCAATGTCTCACTGGCATAAACTTACTCTTAAGGCCAATTTCTTGAGCTTTTTCATTTCAGAAAATTGCTTCATGCGGCCTAAGACTAAAGAATCAAGTGGCTTGTCTGGAGCCCCCCCATCAACCTGAATCCACCTGTGGCCTGCAAGGAACCAAAATCAAATTAGCTTAACTCCTCAAATTTCAAAGTGAAACAGCCAAAAACTTGTCTTAACTTATCCAATAGTTTTGAGAATACTGATAAGTACTGTTCCTTTTCACTCTTTGTCATTGGTAACAACTCTCCCATAGCAGTGGTGAACACACATGATAATATGGATTAGTAACAAACAAAATTATATCATTTTATCCATCTCACATGGTAAAAGTGACTTACATAGCACTTCGTATGCGGTTATCCTCTTCTTGGGGTCTTTAGCAAGCATTTTCGACACTAGATCTTTTGCGCTGGCAGATATACTAGGCCAAGGATCAGATGTGAAGTCAAGTTCACTTTTCAAAATCTCGTCGAATATTTCTTGTTCACTGTCTGTTTCAGAAAAGCTCAAATAGACCAAAGTAAATTATAAAAAAATGCAGAGTTAAACAAGAAAGTTCAAATAACTATCTCAGGTTTTCAACAAAAAGAAATGACATAGGATGAAGTCTTACCACCCCAAAATGGAGGCACCCCAGATAGGAGAATGTAAATGATCACCCCAGCACTCCACACGTCAGCTTCTGGACCATAACACTTCTTCAAAACCTCTGGTGCAACATAGTATGGGCTTCCAACAACGGCAGATAAGGTATCCCCTGAAACGTTAAGACCTTCATTAACAAAACAACTCATTGCTGATTGCATACACAGCTTCACAATATTGTGGAAATTTCTCTAGTTTTTCCCCCCGTAGGAACGAATAGCCTACCGAGAATATTTATTCAATTTGGTAAACAACACGTAAACTAACATCCAATTAACATCAAAGTCAGCTGCATCCTCCTAGACATAAACATTCAACTTTGACCTACAAGGAATTTAAAATTTCACTTGGGTCACTTTAATATATATTTGATTTGATTCCATATATAACTGAAAATGAGTACACAATTTACCAAATGCAAGTTTACTCTTATTTCTTTTCTTTTCTAGATGCAAGTAGTTAAAGAATAGCAAGAAGAAAAACGTAAAGTTGTGAAACCATGCTTTTGAGATATATCATATATGTATGTATATATGTTAAGAAAAATGCATAGTTTCCATTCTAATTAAAGCTAGCCAGTTCATGGGAATTGAAAGCAAACTGAGCTTTAAATTCAACATGAAGTATGCACATACAAATGTTTACTACAAATTTACCAGGGTGATGTGAGGTAAGTGTGATGTGAGGTAAGGCTAAATTAATCTTTTAGAGTTTCAATGCAGAACAGCAATTGGGATGGACTCAAAAGAAAAACAAAAATATTTGTGACAAAAGAAGAAAGAATATTGAACATACCAGGCTTGAAGAATATTGATAATCCAAAATCAATGACTTTAAGAGGTGAATCCTCCTCCTCATTCACAAAAAGAAAATTTTCAGGCTTAAGATCCCTATGCATTACTCCCATGGAATGACAGGCTTCAACAACACCAACTATAGTCCTTGCTAATTCTGATGCCTTCCTTTCAGAATAGTGGCCTCTCTTAACAATCCTCTCAAAGAGTTCTCCCCCTGCACACAAATCCATGACAAAATGAACCGCCGCCGGATCTTCGTAAGCCCCTTTAATGGACACAATATTAGGGTGCCCTGTCATGTGATGCATTATCTGAATTTCCCTCCTCACATCATCAACATCAGCTTCAGTTACCAGTTTCCTTTTAGCAATCGATTTGCAAGCATACTGCTTCCCAGTACCTTTCTCGGTGCATACAAAAGTTGTCCCAAACTGTCCGTTCCCTAGCTTGGTCCCCAAGTTGTAGAACTCCTTCAAATTACCTCTTTTCGTTTGCAACACTGAGTCTATCTTGAGTCCAGCACATGACTGCCTTTTAACATTATGGGGTCTCCTTGGTATTTTCTTAGGGTCAACCTTAGGGTCTTCCTCTTTATTTACAGCAACATTTACCTGTAATGCTGGTTTGGAGTCAAGTCTTTGAGGGGGACGCTTTGATTGTTGCCTTTGGAGTTCTTCTTTAGACTTTCCTTCTTCCTTTTCTGTCTCTTCCTTAACAATCTTTATTTCTTCAGGGGGCTGCTGCTTGGGAGCTTCTTTTTCTTCAGTTCCAGACTCAACTGCTTCTTTTTCTTTATCCTTGTTTGCATCTTCGTCTGATCCACTCCCCCAAATGGAATTTGAGATTGTTTGAAAGAAGCCATTTTTAAAACAATTGTTTCCCATCTGAAACTACTCCCAATTCTTACACTTTTTCTTGTATAAGCATACATCTATGAGAACAAAATTCTGGAACTTAGCCTAATGCAGCAGCCTCATTTCTCCAATCCGCGCACTTTCAATTGAGCCAAATACCAATGATTCAATGATCAACGTAATGTATCAAAGACAAGAATTATCTCAAGAATACAATTTCATCAGAAAAAAGGGCGTTCTATTGTATTGTACCCTCAGAAAGCTTCACATGTAAATGGAATGATCAATAATCATAAAACAAAAAGGATGAAGAAAGAGACTTTCAATAAACCAATAGATAACAGTTGAAAAATTCTACGTCAAAAATAATGATTTGAAATCATGAATAATGGCAAAATGATCAAAATGAAACAGAAGCAAGAGAAAAAAATTGAGGTTTTTGGTTAAGACAGGTTTACATATATGAGATAGAAAAAAAAAACAACGTATGTATTAGGGTTTTAATCAATTTGTGTAATCAAAGACGAAAAAAAAAAAAAGAATGCTGAATTTTCCCCTTCTTTTTTTTTCCCGGTAAAGGAAATGAAGAGAAAGAGAAAATAACGAATGGCCGAGTTATTTTGGGGTGAGATAACTTGTAAAAAGAAATTACGCGTTAAATGGGTTCCTCCATGAGGGTTTAGCTAACGAACACTCAGGTTTTTCATTGCTTATTAGTTATTACAACGTTAGGGTTGGCTTCCCATGCTCATATGGACGGCTTACGTATCTCTTGTTATTTTGTTGCTCGCTTTTTTGGTTTTTTGTTTTATTGCCCGAGTTGTTGGACCGGCTGTTTTTCATTTGGGTAAACTACTCAAATGATCACTAATCTTTGGGTAAGTTTTCATTTTCACTACTTATGTTTCAAAAGTTAAAAATAGGTCACTAACGTTTTTCGTTTGTTATAAATTGATCACTCGATGTTAACAACCGTTGACAGACGTGACGGAAATCACACATGGGTCGTTATATGCTTACCTAGATGTTATTATTACACAAATATTCCATGTTATTTTTATATTCTTTCAATTTGATCTAGTTTTAATAAATTAAAATTAATTTACCTATGAATCAGAATCAAATATATATTTAAAGTATATATTTTAGTATAAATATACCTAATGCTATTGTTACTATTTATTGAATTAATTTTGTATAATTATATAAATTAGGTCACTAATTTTTAGTTTAGTTAACAAAACTGCCATAATGTATACAATTATGCAAAATTGAATCAGTAAATAACAATAATAATCTTATGGATTATTTTAAGTTCATTATTTTTAATTAATATATTTTTTAAAATTTGGCTTAATACACAATTTTGTTATTGTAGTCAACTAGAATCAACAATATTATTTTTTATTTTTAGTTTTATCAATTTATCATTTGTACCCGTTAGTGTTATCTTTGATCTATGAAACATGTCATTGATTATTACGGTATCGACATAACAATTAATTGTGCTGACATGATAGTCTATGATGTTGATGTGTTAAATGAATGTAATTGATTTTTAAAAAATTAAAGGATTTATTATGTTTTAAAAAAGTTTAAATATTTATTTAATTTTTAAACAACAAAATAAGAAATTCTTAAATGTAGCCAATACAATAAGATGAGAAAAATTTAAAATTTTTATTGTAAAATCAAAATTCGTTGTCGTTATATTCACATAAAATAATAAAAAAATAATAACTAAATGATCATTTAAAAACTCAAATCAGTGTCATCTTAGTATAAAAATAATATTAGTGAACACCGATTTCGTGTACACAAAACTTCAACAAATTTAAATCATTTGATGAAATTTCATCGATCTTTGTTGATGTAGTATAAGACTAAATTAATAGAAAATATGTCTCAAACATGCCAATCTCAAGTTGTTGAGGAACGATCAAATGCTTGTTTAGTGAAGATATTTATTTTTTAAATATTTCTAAACATCTCTTCTCTGTTTTAATTTTTTATAATTTAAAGTATTTTTGTATATATTTGAATATTTATTTTAATTTAATAAAACTAGGATCAAATTGAAAACATTAAAATAAAGATATTTAAAGTATTTAAATATATAAATAACATGGATTATTTGTGTAATTATACCATCTAGGTAAATTTATAAAGTATATATTAATAAAGTATTACTCAATTGAAAAAATTAAAATAAATATATTTAAATTATTTAAATATATAAATAACATGGACTATTTGTAGTTAATTTTATTTAATTTATTTTATATTTGTAGGTAAATTTATTTTAATTTATTAAAACTATGATCAAATTGAAAGAATATATAAATAACATGGACTATTTGTGTAATTATACAATCCAGATAAGCATCTAACTGCCCACGTGCGATTTTCGTCACACCTGTTAATGGTTGTTAACGTCGAGTGACCAATTTATAACAAACGATAACGTTAGTGACCGATTTGTGACTTTTGAAACATCAATGGTGAAAATGAAAACTTATCCAAAAATTAGTGACCATTTGAGTAATTTACCCTTTTAATTTTAGAAAACCTCCATTAAAATAAATGGTTATTTGATTCACACCTAAAACTTGTTCACTCCAACTCAACGTGTAAATGAATTTAGATAGAATACAAATTTCATCTTAAATTTTAGATAAAATATCAATTTTAGAATGTCATCAATTTTTTTAATAAAAAGTGACGAGTTTGAAACATATGAATAGTCGGATGACCATTTTATAATTTTTAATAGTCGAGGGACTCAACATGCAACACCTTATAGTCGAAGAATCATTTTGTAAGTGGTCAAGAGACTCAATAAAACAAGATCCTATAAACAAATAACCATTTATATATTTTACCCTAAAATAATAAAACATTCAAATATCTTTATAATTTCATTTTTTTCTTTTATAAACAATTTTTTAAGTTTAAATATCATAGTATTTCTTTAATTTTCTTTTATAATTTCAATACGTTTATAAGTTTAATAAATGAAATAGATTTTTAATAAAAATAAATAAAAGAGAATAAAACCAATGCTTATATACTAATAGTAAAACGAAAAACAACAAAATTTACTTACATTAATGTAAATATATGTTTATTTTCATATGTATATATTTACACTAATATAAGTATGTATATCTTCTACTATTATGGTACTTAAAAATAAACATATACTTACACCAATGTAAATACATCTAGATTAATGAGTTGAAATTCAAAATATAAAAATAAATGGAGATATTATTTTAATATTTTTATAAGAAAACATATACTTACACAAATATAAGTATATACATCTAGATTAATACCTTTTCGTGACCAAAAATAAACTAAGTACACTTCTATTCATGTTTGTTCTTTTGTTAAACTAATATAAAAATTTTGTCCATGCATTTATTTGACTTAATAAACGAACATAAATGATGTTATACGAACAATTCATTGAACATTATGTTCATTTACACCCCTAATTATTTTCATCGGATTTTCTTAACACTTAAATCATTCGAATATTATGTCATTTATAAATTATAGAAAAGATAAATTATTTTAATTTAATAATGATTAGATAAGTTTATATTAGATTTTTATATTTTAATTGAAAACTAATGAATAAAAAAAACAAAGAAAATAGATAATAAGTAATCAATAAAGGGCGAATTCATCTTTTTATTTGTTTAAACTTATTTAGGGCAACAAGTCACAACATATTATGTCATATAATTAATTAAATTTACAGAAGAATAGCTGATATTCTTTTTTGTATAATATGTTACAAAATCCACTCTCTTCAAGCATTTTAACCATGATAATGGCTGGAAATGAAATGTCTTGCTTTCCATCCATCCAAGGTCGTCTTCCTCATCGGTTGAGGTATCAATCTACCCTGAATAGAAGCCAAAGCAACAGAACCTATGCTTTCTCCATTTACTCAACTTCTCAACATCATTTACACCCTTCTCACGGAACCCATTTGCCGTGAAGGTTCCATTTTCATGAGGATTGAAACCAACTTGGTTTGTCTCCACTGGTATTATTACATTTTGTTGAGGCGATGTTGGTACTACTTTGTTATGGTTTACTTCCCTTGACAAAGAGTTTGATCTTGCAGACCTGCATGCAAGTACATCCGTAGACCATAAAACACATCAAGTGCAAGTGTAATTGAGTTTAGATTTGAGGGTATGCACGTGTAAATATCTTAATGTTATTACCTTGTATCATTAATGTCGTAGCTATTCTTGGAGTCATCCAACGTCGTCGCCAGATTCTCGACCTTTTTGGAGCCAGCATCGTGACCAACCTCCACTTCTAAAGAAGCATTGTCTTCTGTACCATAAGTTGAGTCTTTTACAGCACTCTCTTCAATATTTGGAGTTTCTTCATTAGAGAAACTAGAAGATCTGCTTTGGACGTTATTAAATCTGTATCGTCGTACTATTGAAATGGCCTTCTCCAATGTTCGTAGAGCTTCATCAACCTCTGGACGAATAGGAATATTTTGTTCAGCATTTAAACCATTTGATCCCGCAAATTTATTGGTTGAAGGTTGATTTGCAGCCGTAATGCCGTCATCCAGGCATGTACTCTCTTCACTTTCTTCTTCCTCAATTTCACCAAAAGCTTTTCTCTTTCTGTCTTGTGCTTTCTTCAGTGGAGATTCACCAGCAGGGTCATTAGCATGAACCATTGGGTCCACATCATCCGTGTTGTCTTGTATGTCTTCAACCAGATTTTCATTGGGCAAAATATCAGGTTCACTTTTGGGCTCTTTTGCTTCAAGAACTTTGCCTGATTTGTTACTGGAGTAAAGAGCTTCACGTATTAGACAAAACAGAGGCTCTCCCAAGGCCTTGCTGTAATCTTCATCACTATTAGTGACAGAAGCCACAGTCTGTAAAGCATTGTAAATTGGGAATGTGAGAAACTAATTGGCAGGATGGCCAGGGACGGACGCAGGATTTCATGCTAGGAGGGGCGAACTTATAAAATTTTAAGTAGGGAAGAACTTATAAAAAAACATTTGGGGGGGGCGTCAAAACATATTTTCAATAGAAAATACAAAAAAATATCTAAAATATATAAGAATTTGAAATTTTAGGAGGGAGGTGCGATCTCCCCCACCCGCCCTCCTCTAGGTCCATCCCTAAGGATGGTAATAATCAGCATCAGGAAAAATGAAGTTCCTAATCTTGAAGCTCTCAGCAGTGGAATCTTTTAAGATAAATGATGTGTTGCATCGATTTATACCCATCACCTCATTGAAATTAAGAAGAAAAAGAAAATCTTAAACTACATGCGGGAAATTAAGATGTCATGTCAGAAGAAAGCATGACCTTTTGATAGAGTCTGAAACCGTTTCCGATAAGCTGCCTCGCGATGAAATTTATAAGGGATGGAGGGACAAAATCCAGCTTCATATCCATATTTGCTATTGTCCTACAAAGTCAACAACCTTTTAATATTAAGAGGAGAACAAGACGATTATTTACCTGAATTACAGTATGTAATCAAGTAGCATAGTACTGAAATAATGACTTTCAAGAAGAGCAAGGAAAACAAGAGAGTTATGCAAAGAACTTGATAAAAGAAATGAAGAATAACAATGAAAGAAACAATAGAAGAAATGCAAACTGTATTCCTTCGATTATCAAAAGTGTCCCTCATTACATAGCTCTCAGGATGAACTATATTGTAACAGATTAACTGTTTTGCTAACAGCTCTAACTGTATTCTATCTGCATAACAGTAATGATATTTCTAACACCAACCTGAAATACATTAACGTCTCCGTTATTATTGCTAATAATGTGTATGAAAATTTGAAAAATAAGCTCCTAAATCACATGACCTCTTGAGATTTCAAACAACAGCAAGGGGAAGAGTCATAATTATTCAAGGCGCCTGCTTTCTTTGCAGGTAAAACTCCTTTGGTGCTTGTACGAGGGATCTAAATCCGTTGACCCTATTGTCTCTTAGAAATGCATAAGGTGACATTTACATTCCTATTCTAATATGAAAATTTAAAGAATTACTACTTACCTAAAGTAGCTTCTTTCACTGTTCACCTTCTGAATAGCAAAGCCTCCAACTACATCAATCCTTACAACATCCTTTGCTTCAGGGATCCCATCATTAGTGAAACCATGTGTTGCTCTATCAATATTGCTCACATCTGAGATCTAAAAGCATAAGAACATATGGAGTATTTAGATAAATTTCCAGTCTATGGGAAGAACGTAAATTGCAAAGGAAGTGAAACCATATTCAAGTCTTTGAAGTGACTACCGTGTTCACAAGAATAACAATCATATCATCTTGGAAGTACTGAAAGGAAAAAAAGTGTACTAGAGCCTCCCTAGCTGACAGTGGCCATGCAACCTTCACCCTTTATTCCGAAAATAGAAAAACAAGTATGCATTTTACAGTTTCAGACTTCAATGTATTACAAAAATAGGGAAACATATTTAACTAAACTGTTATAGTTCTGGTCTTGACAAACCTCACTAGAGCTATCTGTTCACCAATTCGGATCTTTCGCACGCAGGTGGAACTAGTTACTTTGAAAGGTGGAAAGCTAGACTGAGGCCACCTAGGAAGGGTAAAAGAAGATTAGCATTGAACACATTTTCAGTTAAATTGGATGAAATCTTAAATCTGCTGCACGTTATTCTTATACATCAAGTGATCCTCTCCTTCCATAAACATTATGTGGCAAATTCTCACCTATTATTGGTTTATAATGATACAAGTATATTTATGTAGATATAATTGTAGCATAGTCATGCAAGAGCAGACTAGAAATAGGTGTCAACAAAACATTCTGATTTACAAAAATTCAGCCATCCTAAGTTGAAGAAAAGTAATTAAAGCATGACAATGACCTTAAAACAATAGCATACACTTTTAAAATTCTAGATGATGCTGATTATAAGAGTTAAAAAAACAAAAAGTAGCATTTCAAATGAAATAATATTGCTACTGCCCCATGGTTCAGAATCAGATCCAAAAGTAAACAACTATAAAATTGCAGAGAGATTTTCTTGAACGACACACAACCAAGGTCATTGATACACACTATAACTCCAGATGATATAAAAAAAATGGAAATATGCAGGTTAGACTGTTTACCAGTCAATAAATAGTTTGTTAATTCTACATTGGAATCGATTGGAACACCAGAAACAATTCTCACCATTTCTTGTAGAGGGGTGACTCCCAAGAGATACAGAGACCTGCAATGAAGTTGCTGCTGAGAAAAGTTTCATATGCCACTGCTGGTACTTAAAAGTCTTGAATTAATTGCAATTGCATAATCGTTTACCCGTGATTTAGAATTAAGCTTAAAAACAATTAAAACATGATCAGGACTTACAAACATCCAAAGGCCCATCTACATAGCCTTCGACAAGTAATGTATGAAAAGGGGTACCGTGAGGTCCTTCACGGTACATAACACGGAACTCTTCATTATCATGCTTCAACTGTCAAAAAAGGTTGAACATGCATTTCACAGAACAATAATCACGATTCAGAACATAAAAAAGGTCACTCCACTAAGATCTGCTTGATAAAGTCATTCATACAAAAGAAATAATGGAAACTAGCAGATAGAGCGTACTTTCCATTGACCATGTGATGTCTCACTGGATTCTGACAGTTGATGATCATCAACAGAAGTAATCCTTAACATGTCTAAAAAATTGGATACTTCCTGAGCCCTTTTGTCCAATAAATGTTCACTAAACTCTGTTGACCAAAAAGAAGAAAATGTTTGACAGTATATACTTGAGAACAAACTCTAAATGTAGTAAGTAATGTTTATTGAGGGATTCAAAGTACACATATGGAAGCTTAAACAGAAAAACTGGAAATTAATGCTCTAAAACCTTCTTTCTCATCTTGTGCATATTGTAAAATCTGATTCTTGACAAGGGTTCTAAGTGTCTCGGGATCATTCAGTTCAGCAGAAGACAGCGTATTGTCCAGCCTCTCTCTGTATTGAGAGATTGTCTTTTTCTTCTCCATATTTAAATCTATAAGAAAACAGCATCCAGCTCCCACTCAAGCACTCCAAGGATCAGCTAACCTTGCAACTAAAAACAAATTTTATAAATACACGCATTAATTCTCAGTCAAAACAGTTAATGACAACCTCAAAGACAAAAATCATGAACCAAATTGATCTCTATCTGCATAATATGCTACAGTAAAAGACAATTAAGACCTCCATGTGACTTATACAGGCAAAAAGCCTCATTTGCAAAACAAACTAACTAAAAGGAAACCATGAATTGAAGAAAGAAGTGCAAAAAGCTAGGGGTGACACGGCTTATAGGAATGCTATAAAACAAGAACGTGATACGATTGAAAACTTCTCCAAAACATCCATATCTCTAACCTCAGAAGATCAACAAAACGAAAGGAAAAACAGGAACTTTGCAATAATAGAGGAAACCAAAATCATCCAAGTGGTCAGATACACGTATTGTAACCAATATTTTGAGTCAAAGCACGAGAAATGAAATGAGAGAGAGAGAGAGAGTTGAAGTAAAAGCAAGCAATCAAAGAAGTTGAACTTACATGAAGCTCAATGAAAACCAAACCAAATATCAAGAATTCGTTCACCAAGATCAGAATAGTAAAATCCCGCAAACCCAAAAGGGATGCCGCAGATCTCGACGAAAAATTCACCTAATCTCTATATCTTGATCGTGTTAAACAAAGCAAGGGACGACTAGGATGCACGGCAGTCGGCAGAATCACTAAATCAAAAGTTACAGCTTTGTTTCCGCTAAGCAAAAATAAAGAATATTGTTTTTTCCCCGGAATTTGCAATAGGAAACGGATTTTCGGACAACTAGGAAGGTGGGTCCCACCAGCACTTAAACCATAACTGTTTTTCATATAAGTATTTAAAATATATGAACATGTACATTTAGCTGGTTAATAAAGTTGTTCGTCTATGATAAAACACATTTAAAGTATCTAAGTTATTTTTTTTTGTTAAAATAAATATCAAAATATTTTTATCAAACAAATACTTTAATTTTTTATATAAATATTTAAAATATTTTTTAATCAATTTCATGTGTTAACTGTTTTTCATAACGTAGATAAAAAAGATGAAATATTTTATGTGTTTATTTTGATAAAAAATATATATTTCGATAAATAAAAAGAGGGTATACTTTAGTGCTTGTTTGTAATATAAGCCAAAAATATGAAATAGGAAAGCGTAGGTTAGAAGAAAATTAAGTCATGTAATAAATTTGGGTGACGTGGTATCGTCAGTGTCCATAAGCTAGAAAGTTGTTTAGATTCTACTATCCTAGTGGATAATGACATTTACGGCCTATACGTGTCGCATTTAAGTTTATTCTATTTTTCTAATATATTTCCAGATTTTACACGATAAGATCAGTAGAAAATAATTTTTTCCCGAAAATATATATGAATAAAAGATAAATGATTCTTATATGATAAATGGAATTTTTTTTTTAAAAAAAGTAAAAGTATGGACCCCCTCAACCTGGAGTCAGTCGGGCAGGCATGATGAATGAAGTCAATAATGCCCACAATGGCAATTGACTCTAACAAATGTAGTCGCATGACCTACAATCGTTTTAAAACCGTTTCTAAAATGTAAATAAAAACAAAATTTAGTGAACGATTATTTAATTAAATTAAATCCTTTAAATAATGTTTATATTTAATGTTATAAAAAATGGATGAAATTAATTATTTAATTAATAAATTATTATAATATTTTATTTAAATCAACTAATTAATAAATCAAATATTAATAATTTGAGCCCTTATCAGAGTTGGCCCGACGAATAACCATTTGGAACCCAATTCCACATATTCAGATCAATTCTAATAATCAAACATTTGTTACTTGTCTCTTCTTCACCAGAAACCAACAATTGAGTAAACATAAAACTAAAACTCTGGCAATTAAAACTTAGGTAAATTTCGCAAATAATCTTTCGACCGTAAGGTATCGTTTTGTTGAATTTATCGATTATTAAATATTATAAAGTAGTCTTTCGATTATAAGATGTTTTGTTGAGTCCTAAAAATTACAAAATTATCACTCGACTATTCATATGTTCTGAACTTTATTTCTTTGTTAAAAATTTAGTAGCCGTCTGAGCTGGACATTAACTGTTGAATAAGATATGATAAAATCATATTTTAATAATGTCTATTGGCGACGTCGTTGCTTTCAAGTATTGGCCCGACAATATAATCTTTTAAGCATTGACTCGACAATATATTGTAAATGGACAGTCGATCCAAAAAATACATCTTAAACAATTTTGGGATCGAATTTTATCATATCTCAGTCAACGTATTAATGTCTACCTCAGATGACCTGCAAGACTCAAAAAAGCAACGTCCTATAGTTAAGAGACTATTTTAACTTTTAATAATTTGAGAACTCAACAAAATAGTGTCCTATAATTAGGACATCATTTGTATATTTAACCCTAAAATTTAATGTGCATTTTTACAGTTGAATCAAGACCTTAATTGGTACATATTATTAATGTTACTTAAAGCTGACTAAGAAATTAATCAAGTTGTCTTCGGTGAGCTTTTAAGGTAAAAGCAGTAAGGGAAAATTATTTACAACCTCACAGCTCATAAGTCGTACCTTCCTCTGTTCTCAGTCTATGATATCTCTTTATAACTTAAACTTCACCTTAAGCAACAACCTGTTACTCACAATGCTTCATTTTCATAAAATATCAATGTCCAGGAAGGTATATACTTGTAAAATAATATCATAAATTCCACAAATCCTTTTTGCATGCTTCTTTGGATATTATTAGGGGTGTAAGTGAACCGAGTTTGAACTAACAATGTTATGTTCGTGTTCGTTTGTTTATTTTTGAAGGTGTTCTTGTTCGGTTTGTGTTCATTTAAATTTTTAATATTGTGTTTTTGTTCATTTATTAATTTTTGAAGGTGTTCATGTTTATTTATTTATTGTTTGCGAGCGTGTTCGTTTATATGCTCACAAGCGTGTCCATTTATCGTTTGTTTATATGTTCAATTTTTATTTTTACATTTTCATTTGCAAGCCAAAGAAAAATGATAAAATTACGTCATTAGTGCTTAAACTTCTTAAAATTCACAGTTTAAATTTTAACTTTTACCATGTGCTTAATTTAATATCTATCTTCACCAATATTTAAAATGTAAAAAAAAAGGAAAAGGAGAATTGAGTAAACAACTTTGTTCATGAACATAAATGATCGAGTTTATAAACGAGCTCATAAACGAGTTTGTTCGTGAACATAAATGAAACAAACACACCTCTGTTCGTGTTCATAAATGAAACAAACCCACCTCTGTTCGTGTTCGTTCGTATATTAAATGAACATAATTTTTTTATTCATACTTATTTATTTAACTTAACAAACGAACATTATACGAATAGTTCATTGAACGTTCTATTCACTTGGACCCTAGATATTACCAAACATTCATCCGGCGGTATTTTTTCTTCTTCTTTTAATTCCTTAAATGAGGTCGAGATCCCAACTTATTTAGGTTTGGTTGATTAAGACTTGAATTTATTTTTACTTTTAGAGATTAGAAGGAACTGAAAGGAATTGGTTGGTTTTCCACAAATCCTTTATTCTTTTACTCTTTTGAAAAGTGAAATATTGTTGGATTTTAGTCCCCTACTGATTGATACCATTACCAACTTTTTTTAAACTTTTACCCTAAAATTATGGTAAAAGTTAAATGCAACCTTTTTGCTTTACATGCATTCGAGAAAGAAAAGAAGTAAACACAGGAAAGCAAAAGTAAAAAGTAATAGCATTATACCAGTTGAAGGAAATTTGTAGTTGGTTCATCATACGTTCTAATAGGACTTGAAAGCTTAACAACCACAATTTGATTCTAAGTAAGAAAATGCTAGATAAGGCAAGCAAAAAAAAGAAGATAAAATTATAGTAAGTAGACATTTCAGCAGCACACAGGGCATTTAACCAATCCATTCTCATTACAATCAGGGCATTTCATGCACAATTCATCACCTTCTTTTTCTGCAAAAACCTTGCAGCTTCCATTGCAATTTGAGCAGACCAGGAACCCGATGTTGGCACAATTAGTACACATGCAATTTGAAGGTATCCCTTCCAGGAGCTTCTTCAGGTTTCCTTGTTCGTGAAGTCGAAAAACTTCGTCGGCTCCTCCAATGTCTCTTCCCTTGATGAACAGCTTTGGAGGGACAACTCTGCCACCTGATATCCTCCAAAGTTCTTCCCTGAATCTCATGTCCATTGAAACATCTCTCTCCTGGACCAATATCTTGAAACTGTCTAAAAGAAACCTTATACTGCTGCAATCTTCGAATGTTTTTCTGATTCCCCTTAGACTTGTTGTGTAGAAAACCACTGAATCTTCTCCTCCTGGTGGACATTTCTCTTCAAAATCTGATAACACTGGATGTTCTTCATTGTCCTCTTTCACTTCTTGTGTGCTATGCTCATCATTGATAATGGTCTTTGAAGAGATTGGAAGCCGAGAATCATCCTCTCTAGGCACTATGCCTTGATCTCCGACATCGAATTCCAACTCGGTTTCTTCATCCCGTTGATCTTTAAAATTGACTACTGATTCCGGGGCATTGATTTTGTTGCTTTTGCAGTCTTTTTCCTTGTAAACTGATTGGTTAAGCTGAAGGACTGAGTCCTGTTTCGAAGAGCATATAGTATGAATTTGGGTTTCTTTAGAAATCTTCCCTTCACGCCTTTCATCTCCTATGACAGCGATGAGATACAAGAAACCCCTACAAATGCATTGGAACCACTTGAAGAAATTGAGAAGGGATAGCATGGAAGAGAATGAAATTTTGACTGAGAAAGACAAAGAGAGTAGATATTGGTGAGGAAAATGGGATGATGGAGATTCTCTTATTTCATGAAAAGTGGGAACTGTAAACCGAAAAGGGTGTTTGTTGGTTGCTTTTAAAAGTGGGGTACCTTTCACCATTGGAGTCCACTCAACCTGACCACATAACCAACATTTTTGGTTGCCTCTTCATGGCATAAGGGGAGGAGCAAGCATCATACAACCAGGCCCCTACCCTACCTGCAAGGCTGCAAATAATGTGTATGAAGAGAATTGTAAGAGTTGAACGAAAACGATATCCCAGTCGCCATTAGTTTTATAATTATAGCCCTTATTGTGATGCTGTTCTTCTACCTTCTGATTATCAAAAAAAAAAGGAAAGAAAAAAAGGGAAAGAAAAAAAAGGAAAGAAAGAAAGAAAGAAAGATACAAGCCATCTTCAAACAAAAGCTAAAAACGCCATTGATTTTGGTTGCATGACTACAAATACCATCATCAATCATCGGACGAGACACAAAGCTATCGGCCAACAACAAATCGTATCGAGTTCCGGAACTACAAGACACCCTGCAAACCAATGTTGTATATACAAACACATACAGTCTCCAACATCAAATCATAACACCTAACATCAAGTAACGAATATATTTACTGGAAAATGTTGATCAGTTTACCTGTTGTTGCAGAGATACTGAAGGTCGCAGGCTTCCCTCTAGCGATTGGTTCAGGTGAAATCTCAACTTCTTGAACCTTTACAAAATTATCTGCATTGGTATTATTATTTATTTTCTAACACATTGCTCAAAGAGGAACGTCTTTTCTAAGAAAATGGAATCAAATTCTAATATTGAGAGGTAATTTCAGAACAATCAGTGAATAAATTTCTTGGTGTGAGAACATGTACCAATCCACTCCTCTGATAGCCGAGAGAAGTCACTTGGAATAGATATATGAATGGGTGCATTAACGTCAACATTGATAGAGCATACAACAAGGCAAGCATGATTGGTGCATTGGGCGTGTTAGCAAGAGGTCAATATGGACATATTATTCTTTTAAGTCACTTGAACCCGATCCAAAAATTAAAACCTTCCGCCTAAACCTGCCCGAGTTTAAGAGATCCCACCTAATTTGATCTTTTAGGTCAAATTCTGCACCCAACCCAACCTATATATATATAATTCTTTTTATTAGATAAAATAATGACTTAATTGAAAAAAATTAAAGACTATGTATTATTATAATTATCTCTAAATATATAACAGATAATTATGATATTAGATCGAATTTCTTTCACCCTAAATTCAAACCCAACTTGATCCTATCTCACCCTTGAAAAAATCCAATATGAATCCAAATTTCTAAAATAAAAAATCAACCCGACTAAATCAAATTGAACCAAACCCATCGAATGCGAGTGAAATGAGAATCCTACTCGTAATAATGCTATATGGTTTAAACATGAGCACCTAAATGTATCACCACTAATGTACTTAATGATGGTATTCGTAATAAATAATACAATTATCCATTTACGAGAAAAAGAAGGTCATGTGTAATTTCAAGCTCTGTTTTAAAATCGGATTGGACCGGCTGGTTCAACCGGGAATCATTGTTTAGTCCGGTTCAATCTAAACCGATTGAACCGCTATTAGTGAACCGGCCAGAATCGCTAAACCGTTCAAACCGGACCGGCTGAAAACCGGGAAAAATCGGGAAAAAACGGGATTTTTGTTTTTTTTAAAAAAAATTAAACCAAACAACGTCGTTTGTTAAATGAGCCAAGTCGAACTCGAGTATTGCTGAGCTCGACTTGAACTTGAAAACTTTAAAAGTAAGTTCAACTCAACTCAAACTCACAAGCTAAAAATTATCAAGTTCAACTCAAACTCGAAATATAATATTGAAACTTGAACTCAAAAAGGCTTGAACTCAAAAAAAATTTAGAAGCTCGATTGAAGCCTAAAATTCGAGCTTGATTGAAGTGAAAGAATAGTTCACTCAATGCTCACCAAAAGGGTCCATGATTTTGAATGCTAAATTACCTCTATTATTTATAGAAGTTAGTTGTGATGCGCTTCTATGTTTCTTAGCAATGTGAGATTGTTTTGTTCTCATATTTTTACTCTTTAGACTTTTGGGATGCTCTTCTATGTTTCTTAGCCATGTGAGATTTTTTTTTTAAATTAAACCAAACAATATAATTTTGTTATGATTCTTTTAACCCCAAATTTATTTTTTAATTATAGTTATATAATTATATTTATTATTTAATATGTTTTACCTTAAATATTATGTTGTAGTTAATTTGAATCATTTTGTTTCACTTGATTTTATGGTTTTTAACTTATATATGTTATGACTTGCTTTGAATATGACTTGTGATATAAAAAATTATTTTTTATTAAATATTTTTGGTATTTTTATTTAATTTTTTAAATAATTATGACGTCGTCCGGTTCTTCCGACGGTCGGACCGATTCGATCGGTTGAACCAGTAGCATGACCGGTTCACTAACCGGTCCGGTTCTGAAAACCATGATTTCAAGTATGACATTTAAAAAAAATTCTAATGGTTAAAGTGACCATCTTCAGCATCCTTTTGATTTTGACTTCTTTCTGGCTTGTTATTTTGCTTTGTCATTTTACCGTCACCTTTGACTTTGGGGCAATTATACTTTGGGGCAATTCTTGTGTTTCCTCCCTATCAAATTTCAATTGTCACGCCTCATTTGGTGCTTTTTCCCCTTTTTTTATTTTGAAATTTAAGATGCAATGTTGTTGTCATCAATCTTCAAGCTCATATTTCATGAATCATGATATTAAACATGACATGTTTTTTTTATAAAAAAAACTTTAAGAAATTGAATATATATATTCTAAATCCATATCCATTTGAGTCGAATGCTCACTTGCAACGTCACGTGGACATTTTATTATTAGTGCACATTAATTTTTTAAACATCAAACTTAATAATTCATCTGCATATTTTATTAGTTTCCTTGGTATCATTTATGTATCACTTTGTTTTTCCTCTCAGAGTTATAAGATTGATATGATTCCTACAACTATATTGCATTTGTATCAGTAACAAAGTGTTTGAATTACAATCCGAAATCCAGAAGAAGAAAAAAAAATTGTTATGGAAAGATCTTTTGCCTTGTAACAATTTTACATTGAGTGAATAATGATGAGGAATTGAGCAAATGTAGAACTAACACTTTTGTTGACATCAACCGCCTTGTCTGCTTGACAACGGAACCACCTCCGCAAGCGGCGTTGACAAGGGTGTTGGGATCGGAGATGTCCGGCAAACCGGACATGTCGGGTTCAATCGCAACCAAAGGTCAACACACTTGACATGGAATAGGTGGTTGCAGTCGGGCAAAAACCTTAGCATGTCACTGCTTTTGTAATCCGCCAAGCATATGGAACAACATGAAGCTGTAGAATCTTTCTTCTGGAGCTTCGCCTCCGAGTAAAGCAGCTTTGGGTAGCTCTTTATGGTATCCTCATCAAGGCCTACGTCGACAACGAAGCTATCGGGATCGATATTAGGCTCCTGTCTGGTCCTCCTAGACCGCACTTCTTGCGACGGTCGAGTCCTGGTGCAGAAATAGGAAGCCAAAGTGATGGTGGTGATAAGGAGGAGGATTCCAACTGACACCCCTATGCCATATCCAAAGCTACCAATGTTTTTGGATCCTAGAAGTTCGTCATCATGCGAGCCCGATGTGGTGTTCATGATCCAGATTGAGAGGAGAAGAGGAACAAGTGATTTGAGAGATGAAAAAATTGGGGTTGGTCAGCCATGGAAGTGTCCCAAAGAAATGGTTTATTTGATGTGGATTTTCAAAAGTCAACCGTGAGAGAGAGAGAGAGACGAAAACTGGTGGAGTTTTAATTAAGGGAAGATGCAATTGTTATTTAAGTAAAGCAAGGGATATGCATAGCCATACATGTGAATTTGTTATATTTTAAGATTTTGAGGGATCACTGGTTTGTCTGGTAGTTTTTAGAAGTCAACGGTTCTGATGTAATCGTAAGGTATAATGTGTGGTTTGATTTGAGTTAACGTCTCCTTCTCTTCCGACTAAAGTCTCCACGTTCCCTGCATTTGCATAAGAATTAAGTAGTGTTAATGTTGTGTGGAATTAGTACGCATGGCTTGATCTTTCACAAGTAAAGGACGTTCCAGATCCATGATCAATTTTATTCCAACAATTCTTCGTCACGAGAAGACTTTGGTTTCCTCACGAGACAATTCAGAAGAATTAGAGGTTTCAACCACTTGCATGGAGGCGGTGTTATAAATAAATAATTACGGGAATTGAACAACACTTTAAACTACAAAAAGAAACCCATAATTCAGATTTAGTGTTGGTCGTATCATATTTGTGGGGGAAAAAACATGGGTCGCTAATTTTTATCTAAAGTTTATAAATGGTAGAAAGAATAGAAAGATTTATTAGACCGAATAATCAAAGATATTCATATGATCTTAATTTATATGAGTGTAAATCCTAACATTTATCTTTAAAATGTTATATCTCCTCATTTAATAAAATAAAATAAACACGCATGTAATGTTATTTTTAATGGTTTCGCAAGTCAATACATGAATATTTCTAAATACATGATCTATAAGCCTTTTCCAAATCCATTTAGGTTTTTAATTTTTTAATTAATTGTTATAGAATTTGATTTTAAATTATTTTAAATTAAAAATAACTTTTAATACTAACAATATAATATGTTTTACTCATTAGAGAATGTTATAGAATTTGATTTTTAAATTAATTTTATTAAAAATAACTTTTAGATAAAGTTTTATTGTTATAGAATTTGATTTTAAATTAATTGTTATGATCGCTATCAATAGGAAGGCAGAAAAAATTACTATAGTCCTCTGACAGTAGAATTGGAATCCCGTACGACTGTCCAAGAGTCTTGCCTGGTTAGAGAATGTTAAACTCAAACTTTTGATCGACAAAGGAGCTCCTTCAAAGGTTTTGTTATTTCGGAGGTTCAAAGGAGTTACTCCAAAGGAAGCCCCACTACTCCGAAGGTTTTGATCGTTGGAGAAGTGACAGCGGAGGAGACCTGCTAAGTATATCCAATGTACCGATGATGAAGAGAAGCAAAGAAGACGATAGACGGGGAGAAAGAAACGATCAGAGATTTAATCGGAACCCAATGACTGATGGAGAGAGAGTGGCAAGCCACACCAATGAGAGACACTATACGCAGGGAAGGGGCATCTTCCTGCACCATGATGACCCGTCAAACCTGGAAGACACAAAACGCGAACAAAACAAGATCGACATAAAAATGAAAAAAAAGGGGAAAAAAAAGGAAACATCCAAAACTTCTGTCAATGGAGGGAACGCCCTTTATCCCAATATAAAATGACCCTCAAGAAGGATCCAAAAGACGTCGGAAGAAAGAAACGCATATCGAGCAGGCCAAGTGACCTCTCCAAAGCGACCAAACACGAGAGAAGAGAGGGACAACTAAAAACTAAAGGTAAAAAAGAGGGAGAGAGGGTCAGATGGGGCCGTGCAACATCCGACGACGACGAGGCCGAGAGAAGAGGCCTTGAGATTAAAAATGAAAGAAAAAAGTAAGGTAGGATACTAAATTATTTTTTCATGAATAAACAGACAGTTTTCCTTTTGGATTGAAGATTAGGTGAGTGGATATTTAAATTCAACCAAAAGAACTAAATTTTATTTATAAACAAGCATAGAAATAACAATGGCATCTGTCTATATCTATATTCATATACCTATCGGAACATGTAAACAATATATGTAGCAAAACCAAGAAAAATCTAACAAAAAATATTGCTAGTTACAAGAAAGAATCAACAATCAAAATGGTGTATCTGACTCCAAGAAATCGTATCAGAATGCAGGAAAGAAATGATGGCATCCCTTTCCCAACTCCAATCTGCAGCCCTGTGTGTCCCCTGCTTTCCCACTCAACAACAAATGTTATGTAATGGAGACTGGGGTGCTCAAAGCAATTCAATCAAATGTCTCAGCGCATCAAGTTTTCGACTAGCATATAGATTCATTAAAACTAATCCAAAAAATAAAAAGGGAAATGAAAAAAACTATAGTCTCAAATAACAATACTGCATAGCTAACACTCTGATTGATGCAGATCAAAGCAACTTTTTAAGGTGGAGGTGGAGTTGTTGCCGGTGTCGTTGGAGTTGGACTGTTGTTGCCGTTGCTGCTGCCGCCATTGTTTTCCCATGGTCTCACGGTGAATAAAACCACAAACAAGATGATGACCAGCAAAATTATGATAGCATAACAAGTCCATTTCCGGGTATTTTTCTGGTAATTTCTAGCTGTTTGCAACCGCTCGGTTCCACCTCTCACAAACGAATTAGCTCGGTTCACTTGGCTCTCAATGTCATCCAATTGCTCACCTTGAGCCTGAACCAGCACTGCCATGTCCATGAAAACTTGGTGTAACTCCTTGAGATTCCTCTCTAAATCCTTCACAGCATCATGTCTTTCTTGAATCTCATTGATCGTGTCCAAAATTCTTCCTCTTCCTTGTTCTTGAATAGCTTTTTGCAAGAATGTCTCACTCTCCCCTGCAAAATGTTAACACAAAACAAGTTCCCAAATGTTGTTCATATTTCTCTTGCACAAGAAATGCAATACAGCTTTCTCAAATACCCCATGCTTTATAATTACGATTTGCAAGTTTGAATTGTTAATTAAACATATAAAAGAAATTCAATCTATATATATACATGTTTGGAAAATTTACAGATTGCAGCCAAAATTTTCATATAACTATTTAACAAGTAATCACTTAGCTTAAATAATAATCATCCCCAATTAAAACATATCAATTAACCAAACGAAAAGGATTTGAAAAATTGTCAGAATCTTGTAAAGAATATGAACTTTATGGAATGAAAAAGAAAATCCCCTTGAATAAAGCTCAGATTGAATAACATGCTTTCATAAGTACCAAAAAGGGGGAACTGACCTGTTGAAATTAAAAGATCAAGAGTCTTGTCATCTGGGTTTTCTCCGGTAACTGTAAAATATCTTCTCTGAACAGTATCTCTGTACTCAGACGAGATCCTCTCCCTCAGTTCATTGAAACTTTCCATAGAATCCTTCAACTTCTTTCTCAAGCCGTTCACAACCGAAGTCCTCGTCCGGTCGGAGGAAGAGCCCAGTCCACAGCCAGGCAAGCTCCTGTTAGCCGCGTTGGACCGGTCCAGCGCTTCCAGGCGAACTTTGATGAGCTTGGCCTTTTTCAACGCCATGGATACGTCACCATCCATCTTGGCTCTTAAATCCCTCACAGCTTTCGCGTTGTGCAACGTCTTGCTTTGCTCGTGAGATGAGGAGAGGTCTTCGTTGAGCCTCTCGAGTTCCTTCAGCTCGTCTTTGATGGACTCGACATCGTCGAAGAACTTATCGAGGTTGACACCGCGGGGGGTGGAAGACGATTCCGACATCTGGACTGCGTGGTGGTGATCGGGGGAGGATTCTTCGCTTCGGAAGCGAGAGAAAGAAGACGAGAATAGATTGTTCATGGTTGGTTTCCTTATTAAAATCTCTTCAAGGCTTTAAAAGCGTTGGTTGTATCCCAAGGAAATGATTTTAATATGGGAAGGTGTTTGGTGTATGTAATCAAGTCACTGAATCCATTTTTTCAAGAGATATTGAGATATGGGTACAAACGTTGAAAAACAATGATTATAGGAAGGTGGGAAATTTCGACAACAAGGGATTTGACAAGTCGAATCATAAACTAAAAATCCAATTTCATTTTAGGTAACTGTTAATGTTGTTCTTTTCTATTCTTTGAAAAGATAAAAAGGAAGCATCTTGGAAGGTGGAAGCAAAGAAAGGTCAAAGAATGTAAACCGGGTAACCCTGTTGCTGTTCCAGTAAATTTGAATGTTAAACGACGGAAGAAAACGCGTAGGGAAAATTTTGGGAATTTGATTGATTTAATTTCCTACCTATCTTCGATTTCGATCTTGTTTTTGGTTTCTGAAATTGGAAGGATCGCCTTTCGCCATTATTTTACTAGTGAAGCGCTCAACATTTATAAAGTGTGGAGCAAGTTAGGAATGTAAAATTCAAATAACTGTTTATGTTTCAAGTCGGATCATATTATATTATATCAAATTAAATATAAATTATGTCACATCAATTCAATGATTTCGACTCATATTAGGTTGGGTCTAGATCTGGGTCAACTTGAGTTCGAGTTATTTTTAGGTATATTTTAAATCAGATTCAATTCAAATTTAAGCAGAGTTAATTTCAGGTCGGATCAATATCAGTTTAGATCAAAATGGTTTGAGTCTGAATTAGTTAAATATCAGGTTAATTTAGGTTCAGATAGACTTTAGGTCGATTCTCGTTCAGTTTATGTTACATCATTGACTGATAAAATCCAGGTCGAGTAATATTAGTTTCGGATGAACTTCAAGTTAGGTCATTTTCGGGTGAATTATTTTTCTCCTTTCATGGTCGTCTGAATGTAACTTGTAATTGTATATGGTTTAGAGTAAATTATAAAAAATAAAAATAATTACGGGCTAATTTTGGATAAAAATATAATTTTAAGGACTAAATTGAACAAAAATTAAATTACAAACTAAAATTTAAATAAATTAAAAAAACACATGGATCAAATTGAAACAATTGTAAAAATGTAAAGCTGAAATTAATATAAAAATGGACTAAATTATTTTCATTTGCAAAGTTGGTGAACAAAAGTTTATAGGATTTGGAGATTATGATATATTTTATAGGTTTTTGAAATGTAGTTTATGATGTGATTTATAGGTTTCGGAGTAAATTACAAAAAAAAAAGAAATAAATATGTGTTAATTTTGGATAAAAATATAATTTTAAGGACTAAATTGAACAAACATAAAATTACAAACTGAAATTTAAATTTAAATAAACTAAACAACATGCAAGGATCAAATTAAAACAATTGTAAAATGTAAAGTTGAAATTAATATCAAAATGAACTAAATTACATTCATTTGAAAAATTGGTGAAAAAAAGTTTATAGGTTAAGAGATTATGAATTCCTGATATAAGTTATAGGGTTTGAAGTTTATGATGTAATTTATATAATATGGAGTAAATTACAAAAAATAAAAATAATTATGAGTCAATTTCGACAAAAAATATAATTTTAAGTACTAATAAATAAATGATATATATACATTAATAAATTATACATACAAACACACATACATAAATACAAGTTGGGCCTTGTATTGAGTCTCCGACTATTAAAAGTTACAACATAGTTCATTGCCTATTCATTATGTTCCAAAATTGTCATTTTTTGTTAAAAAAATGACGACAATTTGAGCTAGACGTTAACCTGTTGATTGAGATATGATAAAAACTGATCTCATAATCTCAAACGACTATCATATCTCGGTTAGCATGTTAACGTCCAACTTTGACGACTGTTAATTTTTTAGCGGAAAAAGACGAGTTTAGAACATAATGAATAGTCGAGTGACTATTTTGTAACTTTTAATAATCGATGGACTCAACAAAGCAAATCCCTATAGTCAATGGACCATTTTTAATAATTGATGGACTCAATAAAATAGTATCTTAGGGATTATTTTTCAATCGTAATGATGCCAAAGAGTTTTGTTGCGAATTTAATTTGAATCCATCATAAATGAGAGGTGCAAACAAACCAATGAAAATGTTGGTTGGTTCACCTAATAATCACTGTATCACAGTTTATTTTCATCCTACCATCCTCCGTTTTCTACCATCAATTCTCCTTTGAATTATTTATGAACTGCATTCTGTATTCAATTTATTATGAATTGGAACAACTGACGCCAAGTGAAATTGCATGAGGAAATGGAAGGAGAACTTTCGATAAATATGGCAATGGAAACGGCTGAATTGCTCGTGTGAAGTGGTATCATTAGCATTTAGTGGTGAAGACAGCTTTTCTGCATAATCTTGATTGGTATTATCATGTTTTTCAACAATTGGTTGATTCTTGAACTAACACTTCATCTTGATCCTCAATCAGCTGATCTGAGCCTAAGGTATTGATTTGAAGTGTTGGTAAAGGAGGTGGATACATATCTTGTGGAAGTTCCGGCAATGGAGATTCCTTCTGAAGAACTTTGAGAACTTCCCCTGCATTAGGCCTTTGCCTTTCATTAGGATTAGCACACCATAATCCCACTGTCATCAAGCATCGCATTTCATTTTCGTCGAAATTTTCTAACCTTGCATCCGCAGCATCAACGACACAGCCAGCAAGGTATAACTGCCACACCAACCTAACCAGAGTGCCCCTTCGATTAGGTTTTCTCCCACAGCAAATTTCCAACAGCACAATCCCAAAGCTATACATGTCTGTTTCTTTGCGAGCTTTTCCTTCTCGCAAGTATTCCGGTGCTAAGTATCCATATGTCCCGATAATCCTCGTTGTTTGAGTCCTCTGTCCCCGCTCCACAAGCTTCGAAACCCCGAAATCGGCGAGCTTGGTTGTGAAGTCCAGGTCTAGCAACACATTATCTGATTTGATATCTCTATGGATGACACACTGCTCTGCGCCTTCATGAAGATAGTTAAGAGCTAATGCCAATTCAATAGCTATCTTATGCCTTGTATGCCAAGAAAGTGTTGGTTTGTCTCCATGAAGATGACTGTCAAGGCAGCCGTTTGGCATGTACTCATAAACAAGTAATAGTTGGTTTTGTTCATGACAATAACCGATGAACCCCACCAAGTTCCGATGTTTTAAACGACTTATTACATTTAGTTCGTTGATAAAAAAACTCTCGGATTCGGCAAATATTCTCTTCACAGCAACTACGGTATGATCGTACAATTCTCCTTTATAAACATGTGCCGACGCTCCTCGGCCCAATCTTTTGTCTTCTCCAAAACCATTGGTAGCTTTAAATAGTTGTTGGTACGAAAATATTTTTGGTATACCTCCTCCATTAATATTATGACCTTTCCCGTCTACAGCCCGATTGCTGCCCCGCATCCTGTTCTGCGGTGACCAACATGGATTGCCCTTCTTTGGCCGCCGGAGGAAGAACCAACCTGTAAATAGGCAAAGCAACAACACGACTGAACAAACTGGAGCAAGCACAATCACATTTGTTCTTATGTTGTTCCCTTTACTAGGCTTGGTTTCGAGATTTGAAGTGAATTTCCATGATTTAATGGTGTTGTATTCCGTGTACTGGCCTGTACCTGCTGAAAACCCAATTTGAACCCACTGTGGGAGAGTTTTCTTTAGATCAATCACACAAGAAAGAGAAGAGTTTCCCATAAAAACAGGGTGTTCATCATATGTCCAAAACACACTCAGGTTTTTTGTAGTGGCATTGTAAGTAATCCAAACGTTAGCCACTTTTCCACTGTTTGAGCCGGCATCCCATTGGGCAGAAACAACTGACCTCATGGAGTTGTTATTGATCCCAACATGTTGTGTTGATGGATCCCAATCTTCATTAACATAGCTGTCAAACTCAACTGAGACCACCTGAGGTGGGGAAAGGCATCCGTGGTGCTGCTATTCAATAACCCAAGATACCCACCCGCGGAATTGGGTGGTATTTGGTAGCCCACAGGAGCTAGGAAAAATGCAAATCCATTGCCATAAATAGACACATTTCTGGTGTTGATGGTGAAGGAGAATTGGGTGGCGAAGTCTGCAAGTGTTCCGGTGGATGAATCCCATATGCGAATAGGCTCCGAGTATACCCCCCGACCAACACGGCATAAATAAGCTACGGTGTTGAGTTCGATATTTCCAAGTGAAGGATAGGCATCTCCTTCGTAAACTATGTTATTTGCCGAAGCAGCGAAACTAGTTATATTAAAAGACACAGGATTCGCAAATGGAAGAAAAAGATGGATGATGATGATAAAATAGTATTGAGCATTTAGATGGTGAAGACGATAACATGGGATTGCAGACATGGTTTGGTTTGAGTACTGTTCCTCATAACCGGCGGACTGGGTTCAGATTTAAATATACTCATGGAATTTTTTTTGCTTTTTGGTTGATGGTATTGAAATGAAAACAAACAAACTGTTGAAAACAATGCAGCAACGATGTGATATCTTCTTGGAAATTCAGCATACAACAATGGTAACGTCTGTCCTTATTAATGATGAATGCAAAACAATCAAATACATCCTAGAACTCTTGTTAATCACTATGCAAAAGAAGAAAAAGAAATTGGGTAAACGTATTAGTCACCCGACTATTATTTTGGTTCGTTAAGGTCATTCAATTATTTTTTTCAAAATAATTATTAACATTATGTTTTGGTTTCATTTTAGTCATTCGTTAAAAATTTAATAGAATTACTGACATGATTTTTTTTCAATTATGACATGACATTAACTTATGATTATATATCAGCATCACTGTTAATTTTTTTACAGCAGGTGACCAAACTAAAATCAAAACGTAATATTAATGATGATTTCGAAAGAAAATAATTGGATAAACAAAACATATCTAAAATGATAATTGAGTCACTAAATGCATTATTTATCTAAAGGAAAAAGACAAAGGCCTTCTAACAAAACCATCCATCCGTTTTTTTAAGTGTTCATAATATTATTTATATTATAATTGTGTTTAAGATTTTAATTTTTAATATAAAATTCGAAACGTTAATAGGTTATATTACATAGATTTTAGTATATGAAAATATAAATATATTATTGTCCTATTCATATTTTTTTGACACGTGTTATTTATATAAATATTTATCGTTGTTGTGTGTAGTATGATAATTGTAATTCATATTCGTGTTCAACATAGTCATAGTGTTAGACTCATGGCTTAAATCAATTTGCTCTTCTCATAAATACATATAACCAAGTTTGGAAGGTTAATTAACTTCTAGTTTGCCATTTACAATTTGCTTTTCATCTTTACAATACTTTTTCAAACAAACCAAAACAATTGTTAAAGTAAAAAAAATCCATGAATGAAAGTAAATAGTAATATTTTATTTTTAAATAAGTCATTTTATCTAAATTAGATTTATAGATTATTTTTGATTTTATTGAAAATAATAATGTTTATATTTTACGGTCAAATTATGTGTAAATTTAGTATTTATGGATTCTTAATATAAATTTTATTCTCAACATGTGTGGATCATTATCCATAGTTCTTGAAATATTATCTCGTATTTATTTCGTGTATCAATTTATCCGATTTTTATTGTATTGATTGATTGTAATTGTTTTTTTTTTTGAAAATATGTGTAAATAATCATCCATTTATACTACATAGTTTAAGGTACTTATATTGTAATTATAAATATCAAATTTTTTTCAATTCAATCAATTGTAATTATATTGTAATTCTATAATTACAATTCATTAAAAATAATTATAGTTTGAAAATAATTGATTGAAAATTAAAAAAGTAAATTAATGATTATTTCTCACTTACAAAAAGTGGGTGATAATATTTTTGATTGAATTGTGCTAACTGTCAACTTGTCGTAAACATAGTTGTAAAAGAGATATAAGAAACTAAATTTTAAAATAAAATAAATAAATTAACAAAATTGTTTAAATATTCCATAGCCTATTTCTCCTTTTTAATTTTTATCAAGTTGTGTTATTTGGATTCAGATAGAACATATTTGAGGATGGTGGAGGATTCATTCAAGGTATAGGGTGGGTACGTATTCATTTTGAAATCCGAATTTTTACCTATTTTATTAATTGTGTTCATCTTAAAATTTTATTTGTGCTCATCTTGAATAAAAAATTTATGTGATTAATATATGTGCGTCTAGTTCAAAAATATTTTTGAATCTGTCACTATTTTGGGATATTATAGAAGGATTGTATCTTTAGAATCTTTATTTTTCTAGACAAAAGATTCAGTCACTCAGCTACCTGGTCAGCAGCAATGGCTGAAGATCACCGGAAATGTATACTTTAACTTTTCGTTCACCGTTTTTAGCATGCCCTATCGAGGATCATGCTAGCAAATGTTGTATGCATAGAACCAGAAGCCGCTCAGAGATGGCGGTTTCCAGAGAAGTGTGTTCATATTGTTCAACATTCTCATCACATGCACATTCATGAAATCTGTAAAAATGGTACATGATCCAAGAAGCGCATGATCCCAGATAATCCTCTCTTGAAGTTACCAATCTAGGGACTAAAGAAATATTCCTTGTGCAAGGAACGACCACCCACGTGCATTGCCATTGTGCATCTGTTTTTTTTTATAATCTCCCACTCAGCTATTCACCGGGGAAGGTTGTCTGCTACGGAAGAAAACCTGATTGTGCCTCTCCAGGCATTTGCTTCCTATAACTCCATTCCCATGACCCCATAAGCATTCATGCGTGCTCAGCAACAGATTTAACCAAGCTTTCTCACGCATTTCCTTTTCTATATCCTACTCCCCAGTGTGTTTGGCCGGTAGCTTTCTTGATGAAGGATACGGAGTTGAAGGCAATTTGTTATGGAGAGATGGAAGTCTAGTGTGGAGGTATCACCGAATTGTCCGAGGTGTGGCTCTTCCAATACCAAATTCTGCTATTACAACAATTACAGCTTGACACAACCGAGGTACTTCTGCAAAGGCTGTAGAAGATATTGGACTAAAGGAGGGTCCCTTCGGAACGTGCCAGTCGGAGGTGGCTGCCGCAAGAACCGAAGAGGTAAGTCGTTACTAAGGATGCCGACTGATGGTCATGTCCCCTCCAAGTGTTTGTCAAGCGGTTTAGTTCCTCATTACGATCACAAAGTGAATACCTTATCTGAGTCTAATAGCTCCTCAGCAATGTCTGATGGTTCTCATATTGATCTGGCACTCGTTTTCGCAAACTTTTTGAATAACAAACAACCGGAAAACACGTCTGGTTTCGATGTGCCGGGATTTCCTAGCGAGTTCGATCCATCTAAAGAGTTCATAAATGTGGAATCGAATCTTCAGCTACCAGGAGAGAATGGTCTCAATGAATGCCTAGCGCAGTCCGATTTGTCCATGGAAAATCATTTGAGCAACAATGATCAAATATACTATTCTGGATTAGAATCAGTTCACAAGCATCAAGATGGAGTTCAACAATGTACGGGTCATGAAACAAGCAAATATGCGTTGCCGCCTTTGCCAGGTGATGATTTATCTTGTCAAGAATATTTACTGTGGCCAAATTCTCATTCCTTGCAAGCAACTCAAGAGCCAGTACTTCTAGAACCTGCAGACACTCACGACCCAAATCTGCTGTTTGGTAACTGGAGCCCATTTGATTTGTCTAGTGATGATACTTTCACCAGGACTTGAGGAAACCATATGCATGCACTACCCCCATCTGCAATATCAGTAATTTTCCCCCCTATTTTTGCTTCTTCTTTTATAGACATGTACAGATGGAAAAAATTGAGATGAAATAATACCAGCATATGAACAAATTATACTTGTTTACCTTCTTTTGTGGTAAGCCAGTATTTGATTAAAGAATGGAAGCAGATATATATAGATATAGTAACAGGAAGTATCCAATGAATTCACCAGCAACACTGGTGGAGTACATTCTTTAGCTATTTTTCTGATCAACCTAGTTACTTACATAATTGCAGATCCTAAATGATCAACATCATTGAATAGATCCAGTCTGAATTTCCAAGGGTTCATTTAAATCCTTCTCTCTAGCCTCTCAATGCAAAGGCTAAACCAACCTTCACCTTGCATTTTTCCAGGTTTAAAGAAGACATAAGAAGCGTCATTTACAGCTAACTTTCCCTGTATGTATATATGCTGCAAACTTGAATTTTCCACTTCTAGTTGACACTTGTATGTTTAATGAATCCTAATTACATACAAGTAAGCTTAATCGTTAATTATATTCACAAAGATAATTATGATATTTACTAAATATTTGTCGGAAAACTTAAAAAAATGAAATATATCTGAGTTATGTTTATATATTTTTTTACGTTATGTCGTGTTTTGTATGATTTATGACTAAATTTTTAAAAAATATTTCATACCATATTTTAATTTATAATAATTTGTATATTTTATTTGTCATAGTGATTAAATTTAGAGAAATAATTACATGTTCCATGGTGTACTCTTCATTTTTCATGTATAACTATTACAGGTGATATCTAATTTTTTTTTAACAAACTAGTCATTCAATTTATATATAATTTCACATATATTTATTTTGTGTTTATTTTATTTTTCTTGACATTATTTTTTTAATATTTTAATTTATTTCATAATATACATAGTTTTGTTGCAATAATTTAGTACTTTTAAATCTATATGTAATTTTAGGAATTAAATCATTTTATCATATTTAAAACTTAATACAGTTTTATGAAACATGATACGCAAGTATATTCTAGTAAATGATAAATGATACCAAAAATGGATGATATTGGGTTTAGAGGCCCGTCGTCCCTCCAAAATTTTGAGAAAAAAATTGTATTTAATTCCTCAAATTTTCCAAAATTATAATTTTGCTCTTTTATTTTTAAAAAAAATATTTTTATATTAAATTCCTTTATTTTTTTTTTGAAATTTCTCATTAAATATTTAACTTTAATTCGTATTTTTAAAAAATTAGGAAAAAAACTCTAAGATTATTTTATCAAAATCCAACTCCGAAATATGGGTGAGCAAAACTTGATTCGACTTAATTTTATAAACTTGAATCAAATTGATTTTGAGTCATAATTTTATAAACTTGACTCAACTAAAAAAAATTCAAATTCGAGTTGAGTTGAGTTATAAAATGTAACTCTAATAACTCAAAAGTTTTAGTAATGAGTAGATTTATTTTTAAGTTCGAGTTGAGTCCCTCGACTCTATATGATATATGCATCGCATATGAAAAATCATAAAGAAATATATATGTATTGTATATGGTTATAGAAAATCATTTAAATTGAAATTAAATAATATCATAATATTATAAATATTTACAATTAAATTTAAAAAAAAGCTCGAACAACTCAAATCGACTTTATTCTACTCAAAAAGATTTCAAATAAAGTTTAAATTATAAAATAAGGCTCGTCAATTCGAATAACTCAAAATTTTTGCATCGACCCAATAAAATGTGCATCCTACTCTGAATGATACAATAGTTAATAAATCACAAATCTCTCAAAATAGCGATAAGCAACTATTAATTTTTTCAATAGTCTATAGAGTCATTATAAGATAGTTTATAGAACTTTGTTAATTTATTGACAATGTATATAATAGACACAACTGTTCAAATTAAAGACCTATAATAACCTTCTGTTTTATCATTGAAGTTAATTGATGAGTTCATTAAAACTTTTAATGTTAAATAATCGAACTGTATACGTAAAAATCTACGTAGAGTTAGCTGATTGGTAGGGCTTCTTTTTTAATAATTAATTAATTAATTAATAATTGTCAAGGCGGATGCTTCTCAATTTAGCGTCGGTGGTCGACGGCGTGGGGATCAATTAATCTCATGATGACAGGCGTGGACGATTGCTGATCACGTGGAACAGAATAGTCGTCGGACGGTGAGCCACTGCTTCTGGTGGCCTTAACACCATGTGCAATCAGTGCCTTGCATGTTGCTCTATTAGCTGGGTTAGCCGTTGAGATTGACCGTACCCATTTTCTCTCATATTATTATTCTTTTTTGGTTATGAAAATAAACAAACAAATGAATGAAGGGAATTCAAATATTAGACTCTATTTTTATTAATTAATTTAGTCTCGGAAGTTAAAAAAAAGTGCATTTCAATTTTAATGCAATTCTATGTTTTATGAGTTATAATAAAACATGGGTTGTAAAAAATATATATAATACAAATATTGTATATTTACGGAATTAAATATTCTGATTTTCATATATGAATTCAAAAAGAAAAATAGATCAGATATTCAACTATAATTCGTAGAAGCTTAAGATTTATTGCTAAATAAGATTGTTGAACTTAATCACAAAAAAACAATGTCAAAATTATATTATAACATACATAAACTTATAGAATTTTGTTTTTATAAATAAAATTATTTATATTAAATTTAAGCTCTTTAAATATTTTTATTCAAGTGATAAATAAATCGTAAAACCTTTTTGTTTCAAACTAGTATGAGAAAACTGTAAAAGGGACAAGTAGTGAAATCAAGAAGAGATTTTTAGGGTTTAAGGTCTAATGTTTAAGGTTTTTGGCTTCTGTTCAAGGTTTTAGGATTTTACAAGTTAATGATTTAGAGTTTTTAATTTATATTATAGGGCTTATGATTCATGATTTATATTTGAGGGATTATGTTTTAACATTTTAGGGTTTAGGGTTTAGGATTTTAAGATTTATGGTTTTAGAGTTTTGGTGTTTAGGATTCAAATTTAAAGTTGTATGATTTTAGGGTTTTAGCGTTTTAGGTATTTTTTTATATAATCATTGATATCCGATATGTTGATGGACTAATTTACAACGGATACTGTAGTCGCGAGGACGACCCTCCCAATCCAATTTGCTCCATTTGCAAATAACAGGATTTGAATCCTTAATATTGCTTAAGAGATCTAGTGTCTCGTCCCATTAGACCAATTAAATGTTGGTTTTTAGAATTTTGAATTTAACATTTAGAGTTTACAGTTTTATAATTTTAATGTTTAGATTTTAGGATTTTTATTTTAGGGTTTGTTATTTATCGTTTATCTTATTTAATGATGTGATTGTGAATAATTAATTGGAATTGTGAAACCTTATGTTTCAAAGTATTACGGGAAAACTGTAGAAGGGACGAGTAGTAAAATGAGGAAGAATGTTATTTAAGAAAAAAGGTAAAAGATTTGGGGCTTCAGGATCCTATTCAACGCTGAATCGGCATGCCTATGAATGTGAAAGGACGTTACTTTCTCAAACGCTCAATGAGAATAACTGATCCAGGAACCATGGTTGACCTCACCAAAATTAATATTGAAAGTAGTGACCGCTGAACTCCCGCCCCCACCGAAGCCGCCACCGGCCCACCCAACGCTGCCTTTAACTCGTCTTTCTCCACCTCAGTCTTTATCGCCTTCCATTTTTGTCTCTGCTAATTTCTTTTTAATGTTTTTTTCTTTGTTCATACTTTTTTTTCTCGACATCTGGTGGGGACGACTCCAAAACCCATAAGGCTTAGTCATCTATATAATATTAGTACAAGGTTATAAATAATAGAAAAATAAGGTACAAGTTAATAAATAATACCTAACTTATTTATTAATATGTGCATATCTAAAAAAAGAATGTTTACTCCAAGAAGGAAATGAATGAACATATAGTTTATAAAAAAAATAAAGGAAATGGATGGTTCAATTAAATTAATTTTCTATAAATTATTCTCAAAAAATTGGTGAGAAAAATAATAATAAAAGAGGTCATTACTTGTGGTTTGATATAGTTCTTTGGTATCTCTGGAATTCTATATCTTCTAGAGTTCCTCGAACCCCGTAAAATTTCATATTTTTTTAATAATTATAAATTTTTTATGTGACCTTTGGTAGATGCATATAATATATAATCTAATTTAATATTTAAAATAATTTAATATTTAACAGTCAAATCTATTTAGTTTATTGATTTACAGATAACTATTATCATTTTAAGTTTCACACTAGTCTGACACTACATATAAGATCTTATATATGTCATTATACAAAGCTGATGAAGGAGATCTCTCTCTCAGATTCCCTCTCTATTTCTCTCATCGTTCATCATCATTCTTAGTCCAACCGCTCTCCCCTTCTCTTCTATGAAACAACCGGATGCAATTCTCCACCAACAATCATCACAATTCCATTTTTGTCATCAACACTGCTCTATTTGTCATTGATTTGCCGTTTTTTAATTTTTTTTCATTTTCCCCTTAATTAACCACTTAAACAAAATAATTAATCTTCTCAGCTATTCTTCGACTATCATCAAAATAATGAACTCTTTAACAACTCCCATGAACTCATTTAGATCCCAACTATTTCAAGTAACAATCAAAAGAAGGAAAATGGGGAAAATAATCTTTGCCATGAAATTTATACATTTACTGTGAAAGGGCACTAGTTTCTTTGCCCATGTATGTAACTGCTATTGCAACAGAGTTTTATCTATGAAAAATCATATGTACACAAGTATGGATGACTGACAAAACACGAAACTCTAGAATCAAGCTGGATAAGAAGAGAGCAGAGTGCTTGGTACACAAGGAGAGCTCTTCCAGACTCTAGCATGCAATTTGAGCACCTCTCTGGCCTTCTCTTTAGTCTTGAACCCGCAATCCATTTGAAGCACCAAGCACAATTTAGCCACCACCCCTAATTGCAACATTTCTTGAAGAACCATGGTGGTACCACAGAACTTGGAAATGGACAGCAAAATCCTCACTGCCCTTTCACTTGCAACCTGAGAAACCCTAAGTATCTTCTTTGAAACAATGGCTACCCCTGCCCCATGCTGTAGCAGCTCCGACCGGCCTTCGGCGCATCCACACACTGCATCCAGCACTGTTAGTATCATCTCTCAAGCCCTTCTCTCTAATGATGAATCGAGAAGCAAGTCGATCAAGACTGGTACCACTCCAGCTTCGGCTGCCTTGATCCTGTTTCTTCCCCATGGACAAATATCAGCCAGCAATTGAAGACAAGTTTTTGAGGCCTGCTTTGATATTTGATCATGCAGAACTCCGGTTAATTCGATGAATAGTTCAGGTCTCAAGTTGGTGAGTTGCATCGGATCGGCTACCTCCACCATCGACTTCAACAACAGTACTGCATAAGCCCGAGAATTGTAGCTTCCGCGTTGCATTACTCTCGTTAAGGACACTATGAAATCACCATTTTCTCCCAATAGATTGTGGAGAGAAGCTTCTGAGAGTTGGAGATTGTAGAGAATGCCTAAAGCTTCATCAGTTGGTCTCATTGACTCAAACTCGTATTGTAATGACCCTTCAACTGCTGAATAGTCATGATTACTGACCATGGAAGCCAAGAAATCAACAGCGCCTGAAGATTCAATGCACCTTTTGTTTGTAGCATTCTCAGAAGCTATTGATTGTAGGCTCTTGAGACACTTGATTTGTTGCTGCGGTGACTTGGCATCGTTGAGAAGCTTGATTATCTGAACTTTGCTGATGGGTGGCTTTGGCGTTGGAATCCTTTCGATTCCATGCGAAGCGTTTAACATGCACCAAGATTGAATCAATCTCCTAAGAGTATGGTTTGGGGTAAGTTCACAGTCCGAAATAACTTGCTTCGTAACCGGACATGTGGTGTTCTTCCCTGAAAACAACCATTTCTCGATGCTCTCCCTGTCGTATGTAATCCCCGTTGAAACCGTGACGGGATCCTTCATAATCTCAAGAGAGATTGGGCAGATGAAGAACGGAGGAACATCAATATCGTCCATTGTAGAAATCAACCAAGAAGCTTGAAGAAACGAAGATTAATAAATCCAAGAACAACCCAAACAAGAAAAAAGAAAAGTTGATTTGTTTAAAGGATCAGTTGAGAATTGATTCGAAGTTTGAAGAAGGGGAGGTTGGAGATGGATTATATATGCGTGTGGACATTCATAGCCGGAGAAAGTCAAACACACGTAAAAAGGTTGACTTTTCCAAACCATGGTAAGGATCCAGGATGGCTCACAAATTATAACTGCAGCTACAGCTGCAGCTACAAAGGAGAAGTTTATGGCGGATAATCATTATTATAATTTCAGCACAAGATTTTTATTTGTAAATAGTTATAGAAATAGTATTATCCCCACCCTTTCGACTTTCTCTATCTAGAAAATATTTTATATTTCCCGACAAATTCAAATGGGGATTCATTGCCAATTTGCGTCACCTCATCTCTCATCACACTCGTTGGATTTTACGGTCTTTGGTTGTTTGTTCCCACCTCTTTTGACCCATCATCGTTAAGATTTCATTTTCTTTTCTTCTAGTGGTCTAATTATTGTTTTAGATTAATGATAATAAACAATAGTAATAATCATATAAAAATTCAATCAGTTATATTCCATCAACATAAATTTATTACTATATATTAATCCAATATTTAAAGTTGTTGAAAAAACTGATATCGTTACTTTGAAAGAAGTAACTAATAGTATTGTTAATTTAAATCACATATATTACTATAAAAAATAGCCTAAATACATTATATTAAATTAAAATAAATTGAGTAAAATCGTAAATGTTAACATGATAAAGGAACTAAAGATAAAATTATATTTACTTTATTGATTAGATTTCATCTGGTGTGATTGATGACTGAGATAATGATTAATATGGATATTTTTTGTATTAAAATAATAGAAGATGTCAATATATATATATATATATATATATATATATATATATATATATATTAGAAAAGAAACTAATTTGTTTAAGTTTAAGGTTGAAACTGTGTGATAGTTTTTATTTGTCCTTCTGTAAGATTTCTTAGATTTTGCATTTTTTGCATTTTTAGAATGGGTAAAAGTATGTGGATTATTTTGGTCAGTTATTTTGAGTAGTTCTTGAGGAAATTAATGATAATTATATCCGCAAGTTTAAAATTTTGAAGTCGATATTATAATTATTAAATCTAAAGTTTTATTTCGTCACACACACATATTTATAATATTAGGATTTAATTCCATAATGTAAAACTATTTAGTTTTACATAGATTTAGGATCATTGGATGAGTGAAAATATTATATATATATATATATATATATATATATATATATATATATATATATATATATGGTTAGGATCCACTTACATAATGTTAAACTATTTAGTTTTGCATAGATTTAGGAGCATTATATGAATGAAAATATATGGTTGAGATTAACTCATTATTTTTTCAGTGATTATCTTCTTATTTCCTACTGTTAATATCAGTCATATATTTTTATTCATCTAACGATCCTAAATCTGTGTAAAACTAATAGAGTTTTACATTATGTAACAGGATCCTATATATGTGTGTGTGTTTGTGTGTGGATTAGATCTACTTACATAATGGAAAAATCTTTAATTTTACACAGATTTAGGACCGCTAGATGAGAAAAAAATAGATGGTTGATATTGATTCCTTATCTTTTTCCTAATGAATATCTTCTCATAATCTAAGTCATCTATTTTTAATTATTCAACGACCATAAATTTATGTAAAACTAAAAAAAATTACATTGTGTAATATATATATATATTGATTTAACAACACTAACACTAAAATTACTAAGTCAAGTTTAAAATAAGAATACTAGATTATGATAGACTTATTCTGCCACCAAAAATAAAGGTAATCAAAAAATACGATTTGAATGTTAATGCGTTGGGTTAATATTTATAAAAAATAAGATCAAATGTTTATACAATTTTTTTTTATAAATTTGGTTTGAATTCAACTATTTTTTTAAATAATCAGAACTTTGACTTTCACACATTATTCTAACATACGAAAAATCAATCTTAATCAACCTAACAAAACCTTCACTTGCATTTACATGTATTTTTATATTTTAAAAACAAGGAAAAAAGTATACATTATATGATAACAGTAATATATCAATTTAAAGTCAATAACATAAGTCCAAAAAGTATTAAAATAAAAATATATAGATCATTTATTCTATCGCGACGGGCGCAAAATCTTATGTCGGATGAACAAACTTTTAAAGTTTTAAGAAGGGAAAACATATTATTAATTGAAAATACAAAAAATATATTTAAATATATACTAATTTAAAATTTTCAGGGACCGCTTTCTTTCCATCATTGATCTTAATTAACAGAATAAATGTCCTCTTCGGTCCATCTCTAATCGTAATCAACATAATAACTGCCCCTTCTGATCCATCCTGATCCTAATGAACATGATAACTGACTCTCTCTTCTGATGTGGTGGATATGGTCAATTATACAGCTGAGTTCTTGCAAATTCCAGCTGTTTGGCTTCTGAGATCATGAAATATGCAAAGGCGTGATTCATAGAATGTGGAAAATATAGCACTGTTTATTAGTCCTTGATAAACTTAAAACTGAAAAGATCAGAACAGCAAACCTAACGCTATTAAATATAAATAAAATAAAATAAAATTTATTATTATAATCAGAATATAAATTGTATATGAGGAGACAATATTATTATTATTTGTTTCACATGTAAAATATACATGATGAAATGAAAGCTTATGAAGTCGTGGATTTGAAACAGAGATAGAACCACGCAAGCAATGGATTAATTACGTAAGTGCTTACATTACACGTCTGTGGCAGCCAACTTGAAGATAGCCTTCGAAAGCCGAAAGCCTTGAGTAAATTGTTTTATAAAGCTGCATGTGTATTGCAGTTTGTAGGCGTGTTAAGGGCCGTGGTTTTTTTGCGTCTTTGCCTTTTAATGAGTCAAACACTCGTTTCATTTTCCCATCATTCAATTAGCAGCCCCTTTCGTCTTTCTTTCTTTTTCTTGTCTTATATGGGTTGTTACAAGTTCAAAAGAAATGTTCATAAATTAACCCCCAAAATTAGGAGAAATATGTATGTTTGAATGATGTTAGAACTTTGTTGGTGTGATAAAGATAATTGTGCCGGTTAATAGCGATTCAAACTTTCTAATTTGGATAGGGAGTTGCAGTCGATGATCGATCGATAATCAATCGACTGTTAATGATGAAGTTGCAAGATTAAGATCGTCTGAATTCTTTAAATGTAGAGAGTGAAGATAATTAGATTATTAGAATAAGATATATAAAAAAAAAACCCCCTTCTTCTTGTCCTATGAATTTTATATATTGATCCCTTGTATTTAATGGTGTCAGTCCTAGGATTATAACTATTGTCCATAGGCTGAAAGGTAGTTTAATGTAGCCGCTTGTTAAGAGATTTGGTCTTGTCAGTTTTTTAGGTCTGTCGGTTGTCTTATCAAAAGATGGTAGCGGGTTAGATGATTTAATTAGTTTCAGAATAATTAATATCGGAGCTCCGAGGTATAATAAACTTCGATTGTTAACTTTAACTCCTTTAGTTAACTTTGATTCTAATAGTTGACTTTGATTTTGATCTATTAACTTTAATTTTCTAAAATAAATTATTCAATATAATTCGTATTCTTAAATATCGATTAATCAAATATTCCTAATTTTATGAAGGTATTTAATTGATGTCAGGATGCATCAGTGAATATGATCGTAATGTTTCGGCCAAATTTGGATGTTACACTTAAACTCTCATAAAGAGCTCCTGATTTTTTTTTTAATTTTTTGTGTAAACCAGTGTACTACGTGCTCATAAGACATCATCTTTAGTAGGGATAAACATTTGGCTGAATAGATTTGTATCAAATAGAAAATTTTTAAGTTGGTCGAATTATTTGCGTTTATTTTATAAAAAAATTATTTGCATAAGTGAACCCTAAAGACTAGGCCTGTAAATGAACTGAACGTTCAACGAACCGTTCATGAACCGTGCGGCGGGAAGTTCGTTTATGTGCGTTTATTTATTAAATGAACGAACATGAACAAGATTTTGTGTTTGTTTAATTAAATGAACGAACATGAACATAGGTCTCGTTCGTTCATTTACGTTCGTGAACGTTCGGTTATGTTCATTCGGTTATGTTCGGTTATGTTCGTTTATGTTCATTCATTTATGTTTAACCCAATCTTCTTAAATCAATTTTAGTGACCAATTTGTAAGTATCTTAAAAATATTAATTAATATGATATTCTGATGACCAACTCCATAATTAACCCAATTTTATTTGGAGATTAAATCCAATATGTTAACCCGTGAGCTACCTCGCACCTATATTCATTTTCCCCCTTTTTTTCCCAAACCCTAATATTCACTGAAGAGTGGAGACGATCGCTGAAAGCTTCAAAATAAGTTATATTATAGTGCAATCTGAAGTTTACATGTCTTTTTTCATCTCTTTCTCTGTTTTATTTGGCTTAATAGTTGATATGTAAAGTTATTGTAGGTATCTTCACATCTAAAACTCAAGAAAACAGCATAATTCTTTCTAGAAATATATGGGAAGATAAATGTAACAATCGGAAGTATATGAGCATCAGTAAAGAGAAAAATATAATAGAATTTGCAAAAAAACAAAACAAAGGTTTCTATGCAATTTCTGAAAAAGAGTGTAATAGCAGAAGTAATGTGTTTTCCATGAAGAACCCATTAATAAGTAGAAAATACACTTTGACAATGAACTTTTGTTTTCATAAGTCTTGTGTGACCTTTAGTTGTGGAGTACACTTTAGGTACGATAAAATTTTGAATGGTGGTTTAGCGATAATATCAGTTACGATATGTAGCATCGAAAGGATTTCGGATCTATGTTTATTGTCTTGTAGTCCAATTTGTACCGTTCGAAATCTTCATACTGTTAAATTTTTTACTTTACCAACGGAAAAGACCATTATTAACAAACCTCACTAAAGTCTGACATTGATGTCACAAAACTTTTAGCCAACGAATTTATTAGAATAACATAAATTTGATTGATTTGCATTGTCGACTATTTTTCATGAAAGAACAATGAAAGGTAGGGTCTCTAACGTTTATATTCGTTTATGTTCGTGTTCGTTTATGTTCGTGTTCGTTTATGTTCGTGTTCGTTTATTAAATGAACGAATATGAACAAGTTATATTCCTTAATAAACGAACATGAACAAAAAAAATTTTGTTCGTTTATGTTCGTGTTCGTTTATGTTCGTTTATTTATTAAATGAACGAACATGAACATACCTCCGTTCGTGTGCGTTCGGTTCGTTTACAGGCATACTAAAGACAGGTTTGCATGTCTTGTGCACTCTTCAAAGATGTTAATACAAGATTTTTTTTTTAAAAAAAAAGGGATCTGATTTTCTGTTCTAAATTGTGACTGTGAAAAGAAATTGAGAATTCAATGAGGACTAATTAAATAAAAGAAAATAAGGAAAGGTAATTTAAATTATGAAATGATGTAGTTTCATTTCATGAAAGGTAAAAATAAAGTAAAAATAAAATCTAATATTCAAAATAACATTATTATGTTAATTGGTTTAACCGAGCTAATAATTATAAGTCGACTCAAATTCAAACGAACGAATATTAATTCGAGTTGATTTAAAAAAATTGAAACTCAATTTTTTAAATCGAATTTTACTCATCCTACATCTTAAATCATTTTTTATTACGTAAAGAGGTACCACATTTTCAAGGCAAATATCAAGATTCGAACTCCACCAATTAATGATCTCAGATCTTTTTATTCCCTTTCAAAGAAGATTAGTTATTTTGAATTCGAATAATTTGAATTTGTGATGAAATTTTGCTAAGCATGAACCAAGTGGGGTTTTCCCTCCCTCTTTTTGGTGCCAATATTGGATACATAATAATTCATATGAATATATAATGGATAGGTCTAAAAAAATCAGTATATATGGCATATTAATTTAATGTTAAATATTTCGAAAAGAAATCCTAAATTATTGCAGCTAAATGAGAATACACATTTAAATGTATAAATCTAATTCAAAATAGATATAAAATAAAATAAAAAGTAATTGCAGCACATAGATTGAACAGCTAGCCCATAAGTCTCATGCATGTGATTATGGTTGTTTTTTAATAAGATAAATTAAAAGAAAAAAATAGAGTTGTGATTCATATACGCAAGGTCAAAACGAATTTATAAAATTATAGGAGAGGCAAAAACAGATTATTGAATAAAAATATAAAAAATATATATATATTAATTTAATTTTTTTAAAGGGACAATTGTCCTCATCCGCGCTTTCCGTCTATCCCTAAGATTTGCAGCCAACTTCACGTTAGCTAAAACCAAAGTAAAGCCTTGTTTTAATCAAGTCTTTGCTTCTTCTTTTTTCATGAGTCAATGCCGGTTGCATTGCAACACAGACAAATACCGGTCCATCTTTCAATATTTTGGTTGTTTGAAGTTCAAATATGTTCATAAATAAACTCAAAATAATAATATAATATAATGATAATGATAATGATAATGATAATGATAATGATAATGATAATGATAATGCAAATATATATAGATAAATTCTAATTTTAAATACAATTATTTGTTATACTTTGGAAATGATAGAGATTTAGATTGACTTGTTCTGAAGTCAACCCACTAAGTTTGTGCCAAATGGCAATAAAAATTGAATGGTGTAAATGGGTCATCAATGCTTTGAACTTTATTTTGGAGTCTATAAATCAGATTTCAGCTTTTACAAAAAGTGAGTCCAATTGTCAAAGTAAACCACCTTTTATGTATAAGATGCGTGATTCGAAAGTAAACAAATCAAATAAATGATGAGATCGACCTACAATGTTTTTAATATTTAGTCGGGCAACAAGACAGCCCAAGCAATGGTCATCTTTCGATTAATAGACTTTTGTTCAAACTTTGTGCGCAACTCTTTGTTATTATTTAAATTATTTTCCTACACTTTTTATATAATATGGGATTTACATATAGTTACGAGTCAATTGATAATTAATTATCATAAAAATTGTTTTAAAAAAAATTTTATCGATAAAAATATTTTATATTGTTATATAATCTTTAGAATATTGATATATTAAGAAAAGATAGTAAATATGCATTTACTATATAACTCTTATTTTTTTGGATAATTAAAAATTTTATTACCCAAATGAGCAGTGATCTGCTACAAAACAAGCATCAATGGAAATCTAAAAAATCATGAATAACCTATTCGCAAAACAAATTATAGATTATTCAATACTCCAATTCTTACAAAGAATGATATTAATACTGTCGAGTCTATTGATGTTCCGGCCTCTTAGTTGTATTTCGACTATCTCCTTGATAGCTTTAAGAATTTCAACCACCGTTCTAGAGTTTCCTTTGAACAATCTTCTGTTGCGTTCCTCCCATAGAGAATAGAGGAATGCACACCATGCAAGTTTTAGGATAGTGATAAGTAGTGATTTACCTTTCCAAGAAAGGGAAGTCGATGCTAAAAAGTTGTTCCAGGACAAAGTAGTTGACCTTAAACCAGAGAGGTGCAAAATGGCCTTCCAAAGGGAAATCGCCAGTGGACATTGAAGGAACAGGTGGTCTCTTGTCTCCCGATCTTCATTGCACAGTACACATAAGCCATAGTTATAATGCCCATTTGATTAAGCCTATTCCGAGTGGGTAGTCTGTCCAAGATAGCCATCCAAGCAATCATGCTGTGTTTTGGAATGTGTAGAGGAAACCAGATTATTTTTTGCCAATTAACTTTGTCTCCCTTTACTCGAATCTCATCCCAGATGGCACGAGTCGTCGTTGCTCTTGTAGAAAGAACAGTTTATGCTTCTCTTTTAAGGTTTAGTAGTTTTCTAAAGCTCCAACTAGCATTAGTACCATCTTCTGTATGCCAGAAATCTTTATTTTTTAACACATAGGATTTCACCCAAGCAACCCACAGTGACCCATCTCCTGTTAGGATGTTTCTAATGAGTTGGATCATGCACGCTTTGTTCCATGCTTTTAGGTCTTTTAGGCCAAGCCCTCATTCAGATTTCGAATGACATATCGTTTTTCAACTTACTCTAGCTCCAGTGGCAGCCGTGTCAGAGCCTTTCCAGAGAAAGCGAGAACAAAGTTGCTGGATTCTGTTTATAATTGACTGTGGTAAAAGTAACTGACTGCACCAGTAGTTAGCTACACTAAATATAACTGCTCTGATAAGTTCGAGTCTACCTGCATAAGACAAGTGTATTCCAGTCCAGTGATGGAGCTTGGATTTGATTTTATCAATGAGAGCTACACAGTCCTTTTTGGAGAGTTTTCTCATAACTAGAGGGACCCCTAAGTATCTTACAGGCAAGCATCCATGTGTGAAACCTGTGATCTTGCGTATAGTCTCTATGTTAGTAATAGGGATACCAGCAGCATAAAATTCACATTTGGCCTTATTGAGATATAGTCCAGACATTTCGTAGAATTTATCTAGGACACTGATGACTCCTATAACAGATTCCACATTTCCTTTACAAAAGATAAGGAGATCATCCACAAACATTAAGTGAGTGAGACCAATCTTTTTGCATTTAGGATAGAAGCCAAACATACCTCGAGTGGCAGCTAAATTAAGAAGTCTCGAGAGTACATTCAATGAGAGGATAAATAAGAAAGGAGAAAGAGGGTCACCCTGCCTTATACCCCTAGTACCCTTGAAGTAGCCAATCAGACTGCTATTGAAAGAGATGGAGTATCGTGCTTGCGTGTAACAAGCTTCAATCCAAGTGATGAAAATCTTTGAAAGATCCAGAGCCTTTAAGATTGCAGAAATGAGGCCCCAATGGATAGTCGAAAGCCTTCCGTAGATCAATCTTCATACAACATCTTGGGGAAATAGATTTTCTTCTGTAGCCTTTGACTATTTCCTGAGCAAGGAGAGTGTTGTAAACAATGCTTCGTCCTTTTATGAAAGCAGACTGATTCAAAGTTATCATTTCTGGGAGCAGATTGGTCAACTTGTTGACTAAAATCTTGGTAATTGCCTTGTAGACAACAGAGCAACATGAAATTGGTCGGAAGTCTTGAATCTTACTTGGATTTGGTACTTTGGGTACCAATGCAATTATTGTAGCATTGAAGGTTGGCATCAGTTGAGTTTCTTGAAAGAAGTATCGAATCACATTCACCACATTGTCTTCAATCACATTACATCATTTTTTGAAAAAGTAAGGGGTGTAACCATCTGGGCCAGGAGCTTTATCATTACCTTGATTGAAAAATGTTGTTTTAATCTCCTCTGTGGAAACTGCCTTGACTAGATCAGATGAAGCTCCAATAGGTAATGTATAATGCAGGAGATCTTTAAGAAGAGTAAGGTCACAATTGGTTACAGCGGGATCCGTAGTGCCAATAAGGCTCTTGAAGTAGTTTATCACTTCAGAGGCCATATTATCAAAGGATTCAAGCCTTTTTCCTTGATCATCGACAAGCACTCTGATTGTATCCCGTTTCTTTTTGTCAACAATGATAGAGTGGAAAAATTTAGTGCATCTGTCTCCCTTATTTAACCATTGGGCTTTTGCCTTTTGTTTTAAGAACATAAGCTCAGCTTCTTCGAGAGATTTTAGTTCATTTTGTAGAGAAAGCTCATTCTCGAGTGCGTCATCTCCTTTTAAAGTTGATAATTGTTGCATTTCCAACTCTGTTTTCTTTTGCTAGACTCGGATTGAGATATCACTGTAACAATCTTTATTAATTCTCTTTAGGCCTTTGAGGCGTTTTAGTTTGGAAAAAAGGGCTTGCATAGGATTACCTTGAATAGTAGGTTGCCAAGAATGTTATACCTCATGCATGAAACTAGGATGAGGAGTCCAGAAATTGAAGAATTTGAACGGTTTGGGTCTGTTTGCTTCTACCTCTTTGTTGAGCGAAACTAAAGCCATACAATGGTCTGAAGGACCTGGAGCAAGGAATTCAACAAATGAATTGTGAAATTCTTTCACCCACAAGGAATTGACGAGTACCCTATCAAGCTTCCTTGCAATGAATGATTCTTGCTGTTTATTACTCCATGTAAACAATGGACTAAAAAATGATGGTCTTGTATAGCAAATTCTTGTGTGACTTCTTGGAAATCTTTCATTACGGGAGATGAAACAGGGTCAAGTAACTCATGTGCAGAGGTTTCATTCGACTTCAAAATGATGTTGAAGTCCCCTCCTATTATCCAGGGGAGATGGCCATACTTGATATCAATTTCACGCAGCTGGTGCCATAGTTGTCTGCGTGTAATACCGTCGTTGTTGCCATAAGCTATTGTGATAATCAGAGTGGCACCTTGGAAAGAACCTTTGACAGTAATGCTTTGAGCAGAAATATCGCATAATGAAAATTCCAAGTCTATTTTCAACAGAATCCAAATCCTCCCGTTTAGAGCATATTCATAATTTGTGCATACATTCCACTTTGCAAAATTAGTTTCCAGTAAACCCATTGATTTTTCCTCTTTTACTCGGGTCTCCAACAAACATAATACATCAACTTTGTTTTAGTAGGCTCTTTGTAGCACTTTGTCTTGTTTTAGAGGGCTATTTAGACCTCTAACATTCCAAAAGCTGATGTTGATATTCATTGAGAAGAAGAGGCCGAACCACCCTCTTTACTTTCTGCTGTTAAGCTCTTTGATTTATCTAAGTGGTATTTCTTATTCTTTTGAGTTCATTGAGCAAACTTGTAACTCTTAAAGCAGCAGTGCATACTTTTCTTGTCTGGTTCTCTGTGGCAGAAAATTCATCAATTGAATTGAGAATATCATATCTATTTTTTGAGCCTGCCAGAGAAGCTTTGGAGTTTTCTTTAACCAACTTGCCTCTTCTTTGTTTAGAATTTGAATGATTGTTAGTGTCCTGGCTATCATCATTTAGAACTGATTAATAAGGAGCAGTGTCCTCATTCTCGGTAGCAGAGTCGTCGGGGACTGCAAAATGAGTGGCCTCAGTTTCTTCAGCATTCGAAGCAGTGTAATTAGAGACTGTGTTTGCTGCAGCATAATCATTTGTAAGATCTGTGTAGAATGTTTCTTTGTTGTTTTCACCGGTGTTGTTGCTAGGCAGTTGTTTGATATTTGAGACAGCTTGTGTTGGTTCATGCGTAGCTTCTATTTTTCCTTCTGTCGAGGTTTCTGAGGTTATACGTGATGCTCCCTTTTTAATCCAAACCTGAGTTGTGTTCAGAGCAGAGGTTGAATTATCCAGGCAACCTTTATCGCTATGACCAAAAACCTTGCATTTTCTACAGCATGATGGTATCCAGGGAACATCAACAGCGATAGAAGTTGTTTGCCCGTCTTTAAGAACAACGTCTATTTATTTTGGGAGTTAGTCGTTGACCCCTATTTCAACATAAACTTTGGCATATTCCAGTCTTGATTTTGAAGCTGTAATGGATTCCATAGAGATAGGAACTCCTATTGCACTTGCTATATAGCTTAATCCAGTACGCGAGTATAGTTCCAGGGGAACGTTAAATAGTTTTACCCAAACTGGCATTTTCGATAAATCGAAGTTTAGTCTTTAAAGGTTTGGCTCCCATTTTCTGAGAATCAAAGGCTTGTTAAAGATGTGCCAAGGTCTGTTTTCTAAGACCCAGTCTCTAGCAGTTTCGGAATTAAAAGAAAAAATGAAGAGATTTCTTCCCGCTTTACTGACCTGAACTTATGAACCTTGCAGGGCGTTCTTCCATAAATTGGCAATGATTCTTTGCATTGAAACGAAATTTGGTGAAGCCCCAAGAAATTGCCCTACTAGGGAGAGTTTCCATTCTGAGATTCCAGCTTCGAAGACTTCAGATGGGGGATGAACTTTAGGGATCCCTTCATGATTTGCAGGGGGAAAAACTGTAGTTCTTGTACGGCTGAACTTCCAAACAGGTTTCTCCAGTCCATCGGAGGAAACGAACGATTGATCGCTTGATAAAAAGAAAAGTAGCAGAAGAGATTTGTTGATGGAAGGACGATCAGATCTCCAGCGATGCAACAAAATTTCCAGTTTCCATTAGCCTTGCTAACGTGCACCCAGAGAATATTGTTATCGTGCGCCATTTTCATCTTTAATGTCTGATTTTTCTCTATAACTCTTATATGTTGTCAATAAATCATAAACTATTATGTCGTTAATGGTGTTGATAGAAACAAGTTTATTTTGTAGATCGTAGGTAGTTTATCCTTTCTAATTTGAATGAAGAGTTGCTACCAGTGGAGACTTGATCATGAACCAATGGTGATCTGTGTGGGGAGAAGAGTGAATATAGTGGGATATAAGCAATGTAGATGTGACAGTTTGAAGTGAGAGAGTCCCCTCATCAAGTTTGTTTAATGGACTTTTATGTTGACCCTTTGATTGTTGGTGTCAGGCCTAGAGTCATCATGTTTTATTAGTAGGCTAGCATATATACATATATTTTTGTCAATTATCATATTTGGTTTTGTCAAAGGTCACGTTAAAGATTTCGAAGAACGATCCCGATGAAAGATGGTTCTAACAGTGTCTCCAAGGAAATTCTAGAGACTCTGTTCAGAGGGTGAAGTCTTCAAGGGTTTTTAATAGCAAAGATTTAGTAGTTTTCGAATGGTATTCTCCGAATATATAACACTTGTCTTTCCTTGATCGAGGGAGTGACATAAAGTGGCTTGATACGAGACTTATGATGGAAAATAAAACAACCATCTCTCAATTTTGTTAAATAGCGAAGGCATCTCAACGCTCTCATTCTTGGGATAGAGATAGCTCATTGTCCTTTTTAGAAGGGCTCGGTTGATAGATTGAATCATCTTTGCATTAACAAGGCATCTCAATGCTTATGCTCAAGCGGAGGACAATAGCCATGCGTTGGAAGATAAAAGATACATATGCATCTCAACGTCACATAATGACAATGGACAATTTTCTACTATCGAGACGGAGACAAGTCGACTCTCTTGATCAGAGAAGAGACCATCTAACATATTCCGGAGAAATTTAAATAACGAGAAGACATCAGGGTATAAGAGCATTTTAACTCTTGAGGAAGCGGAGAATAGTAATCCTTATTTAGTAAAGGAATTATTTCTCCGAAAAATATTTTCAAAGACATCTCCAAACTATAAAAGATGATTGATTTTTGATAAAATATTTTTCTTTTTATTTTGAACTGTTATTAACTTACCGAAGGTGGAATAAAACTCAAAATTGAAATATCATTATTATTATTGGGCTTGGTTTATTGAGGTGGTTGCATTTTGTGACGTGGGAAATAAGTTACCCCTGCTGCCATAAGTTTTGGAAGATAACATCGTTACACTATATTTTATTTGTACAATTAGAATTACAGTGCCTTTCTACTAATTAATCATGTGTCTGCAACTTGCTAAATTGACTTCCTCTTCTATTTTTATAAATATGTGTAGATGTTTATGTTATGCTACTGATTCTATTTTTCTATCTAGTGTGATTATTCAACGATTTAAATTAATTTCTTAAGATTTTATTTTTTTTTATAAAATTAAATTGTCGTATGATATCAGAAAATGAAAGATATCATTTTTAAAAAAAATAAAAAAATTGAAAATTTTATATAAATTAAACTTTTTAATAATTTTTAAACATTAAATTTGATTATTCAAATATATATAAATATAAAAAAATTCTATATTTAATTGATCATGGTTCTAATATAAAAAATAAATAACCAAATATAAGATCTGATTTATTCTTATCATTTGAGTCAACGCGTCATTGATTTTCAAATAATAAAGTTATTTTTAATAGTTAACATTTAGAAAATTTAAATAAAAAAACTAACTTTAAAATCTTATTAAATAATTATAAAAGTTTTATATTATAATTTGTTAATCCATATGTGAATGAAAAACAATTATAGAAAAAGTCATTCAATTAATATTCATGAGTAGAATGATAAATCATTTGTGTGCAAATTTAACAACATTGTGTTCAATTCTTGAATAATAATTTTTAATTATTTAATTTAATTATAATTTAATGCACAATCACAAATAATCAACTTTATTAAAAAAGAATTAAAAAGTCGATGATATTATGTTCAGTTTGCTCTTAACAAATTATTAACTCAAGCCTATATCACAACCAATTGTCAAATTGTCCATACAAAATCAATTAAGAAATATTTATGATTTTTTGGTTGTGAATATAGTTCACTGGTCAATTACATGGAATTAAGAAAGGTAAATATGACAAGGAAAATTGAATAATCAGTTAATGTACATGGTGAATTGAGTTTTGTCGATGCAAGGGAACTTTAGCCATTCATCCGAATGTGATCTAAGGATTCCCAATGCTTTATCTTTCAAATACGTTGCACAATCGACTTGGAGCAACATGCAAAGCTTTGTTACAGCTCCAACGTCCAACATTTCATGAACAACCAAACTACTGGCCGAGAATTTACATATCAACGAAAGGATCAGCACGGCTCGATCGTCGGCTGCCAGAGAAACTCTCATGATCCTCTTCGTGACGACGGCGATGCCGCCTTTGTGGTTGAGAAACTCCGCTCTCCCGTCGGCACAAGAACATAGATGGAAGAGTATTCCCAGAATGAGCTCAGTTGTTTTCCTTTCGGGCGAACCCAATTCAAGCTCGATAAGCGCAGAAACCGCTCCCGATTCAACCATCATTAGCCGATTTCTTCCCCAGGGACATGCGTCTAATAGAACATGGAGAGCTGAATTTATTCCTTGTTGACTGAACCTTTTTATGCCTTGCTTCAAAACTCCGACAACCGCCTCGAAGAAGTTAAGCTCTAGTCTTTCGAGTAGGACGGAGCTTGCTGTTTCAATGATGGTTTTCAATGCTGAAACCGCATGGGATTGAACCATAACTTGGGTTCTGAATCCAAATCCTAATACCCAAACCAATGATTTGATAATCAGAGCATTTTCTTTGGGGAGTAACTTAGCTTCGGTCGGGGGAATTCTAATTAAGGAAAGGACACTTAGGGCTTCTTCCAGGCCATTGATACAGTCTTCCTTGAAGCAATTTACAATGAACGATATCATAGCTTTAGACACCCCAGCTTCCACCATGCACTTCCTGTTTCTTTCATTCTTGGCCGCCAACAAATCCAATTCTTTCAAAGCTTTCGTCTTGGAATCGGGATGTTGAAGCTCCTTGATGAGTTTAAGGAAGTGGAGCTTATCAACGGAAGGTTTAGGGGTGGGGATCCGGTCAACACCGAACGAAGCATTCTCAGTGCACCAGGCTTGGATCAAGCGACGCAGCGTATGGTTAGGCGTTAAATCGGAGAGTGTAGGCAAAGGCTGCTGGGTGACCGGGCAGTTGGTGGTTTTGCCTTTGAGTAGCCATTGCTCGATGCTGTCTCGATCATATGTGATGCCGGTTATGGCGGTCACAGGGTCTTTCATGATCTGCAAAGATATGGGGCAGATGAAATACTTGGGAACTTCAATATCAATATCATCCATGAAAAGATATCCTTGGGGGGGGGAAAAGAAACAATGGTAATGTAGGAGATAGGAGGTGGGAATTTGAAGTATGAGATGGGGAGAATTTAGAGTGGTAAAAGAAAGCGGCTGAATTTATTGAGGAAAATGGAAAGAAAAAGAGGGGATTTGATTGGTCGTCTCTTACTGGTCATTCATTGTATTCTCTCAAATCATGTCTCCTCCCATTTATTTCATTCTAAGGATACAGTTGATTGGTCAAAGGCATAAGCGTTGACGTACATCAAATAGGGTGGACCTGTGAAACTGAATACATTTGTTTAACTAAAAAATTACTCACTATAATTATAAAAGATCTATACAAATGTGTTATTTTTTTAATGTTGATGTAGAATTAATTTATAGTAACATGTTAATATCATCTTTAATTTTTTTAAAGCAAATGGTTAAAATATAACTAAAACATAATGTTAAGTTTGATTTTGAAAAGAAATAATAATTGGCGACCAAGATAGAAATTAAGTAATAAGTGGATGACTAAATAAATAGTTTACCCAAATATTAAATTACTTTTATTAAAGAAAACCAAATAACTTTAAAAATGAAACTCCAACCAAAAGTTATATCATTATAAAATCATATTAAAAAAAATAAGCGTAAAGTACTCAAATGATCTCCTGACTATAAGATACTATTTTATTGAGTCTCATGACTATTAAAGGTTATAAAATGATCCATCGAACATTGTTTTGTAGAGTCCATCGACTATTAAAAGTTATAAAATAGTCACATGACTATTCATATATTCCAAATTGGTTCTTTTTCGTTAAAAAATTGACGATTGTATGAGTTGTATATTAATCTACTGATTGAGATATAATAAAATTATATTTTAATTATATTTACTGACACCGTCGTTGCTTTCAAACATTGTTTTGATGTTATAATATTTTAAGAACTGGTTCAACGACATAAAATAAACAGAGAATTGATCTATAAAATACAACTCAAATAATTTTGATATCAAAATTTTATTATATCTCAGTAAACATGTTTACGTCTTGCTTAGACGACCGTCAAATTTTTAATAGAAAATGACAAGTTTGGAACATATGAATAGTCAGGTGATTATTTTGTAACTTTTGATAATCAGAGACTGACTTATAATCAAAAATCATTTTATAACTTTCAATAGTTATGTAACCTAACAAAATAATATTCTATAGTGACTATTTATATACTTTATTCTAAAAATAATAAACCTAAAAATTAAACAAATATAATTCCTAAATTTCAAATCCTAATTTCCTCAGTAAAACAAACTATTCCCTCACCTTCTCGACGCAGTCGCCATCACCGGTCGGTTCTGACTCGCCAAAAGGACCGATTGCTATCGGTTCTTACCATTGAAGCGGCACGAATCAGGAAGCTCGTTGCTCGCCTCTGACCTTCAAACCGGTAATTTTTTTCTCTATCAGTCTCTCTCTTTAATGATTTAGTAGGAGGTGATCTGCATTTGTTTTGTTTCCTGTTTACTTGTTTTTGGCGATTTGTCAGAAACCAGTATATGTATTGTTTCATAAAATATTTGTTGATTAGTCACAGACCGGATATTTATCGGTGCAGCCTAACACTTTTTTTCCTACCAAATATTTGTTGTTTGCTACAGGAGCATACTAAAATGAGCATTTACGAAAGTAGAAACTGTAATGAGTTGAATGCAGCCTAAGTATTAATAATTTATATTTTGAGAAAACATTTATGAATATGCGCTTGATTACATACAGCGAGTGTTGAGACTGTGTTCAATCTTAATAACTTTTATACTTGGAACTAAATTTCGTGTATATCCGCATGATTGCATGAAAACGATTGTTTACATTTAGAATTGAATATTTGTGCTTTCATTGTCATTGTTCATGCACCGATTCTACTCATTTTGTTTGTTTATATGAAAAATGAAATGGCTATTTGAACATGTTTTTTACTCTGCACACAAAGAGGGACTGGCAAACACCACACAGCATCCCAAACACAAACCCTTTCTCATTCTGAATTTACATGTGTAACTGCCTCCGTTCTGCTGACACAAAAACGAACCTTTTCGTTTCGTTTTGATAATCACCGTAGTCCTTTAAACGTAAGAATTTCATGATCTAGATAAATGTGATTTGGGGCTTTAAGAAGTATTGTTAGTCCGATCTGTCGGACTATCCTATCCCAGGCCTCCCCTGCTTCTGGAACTATATTAAGTCACCCCTCTCTGCTGTGCCATAAACCCTGTGTTAACTCCTTTTTGGGGTAGTTCAATTTACTGCCAATCTCCATGGATCTTGACGTCAAACCATTTGCATAGCTTAACCGATACTCGTTTCCCAAAGAGAAAGCCTCAAGACAAGCCACACAGGAAAAGAGCCAGCTTGAAACCCCCAAATACTTCACTAAACATCTCTTCGTTTAGTTTTCGAATTTTTGTATGTTTATCTTTTCAGGATTTATATTTAAGCTTTTGCTCCTAATCAGTAGGGTTTTAGAAAGCATTTTGTTTTCCCTTTAAATATGTTAATTTGACAAAAGAAAATACCCGAAGTTATTGGTGAGTGAATGGGCGAGAAGGTACGGGAAATGCTAATGATTTTAAGAATGCAGGGCCATATGCGTGGGTGAAGCATACTCCAGTGGAGACTATTCTTCCAAATAATCCGAACCAAGGGAGTTTCAAAACAAGGAACGAGAAAAAGAGAATGAGGCTGAGCCGCTCGTTTAAATTGGTTTGTTTTCGATAAACCACATTGAAAAAGTTTTACTGATTTCAGATTCACATAGCAATTATCAAGTTTGTGATATGTTTGATTTTTATGGAGTTGTACGAACGGCAAGGAATGAAGTTCCTTTTATGCATTATCAATCATTTTGCCTCAAGTTGCATCCAATTCTCCAATATCCATTTTATTATGATAAAGATACAAACTGCATGACAAATATATTTAGAAGAGATTATGATGGTATATATTTGACCAATGTTGTTTGTAAGTTACATTTTAGTTAGTCAATAGGGGTTTTGGGATGTGAAATGAAGGCATGTTAATGTTTTTCCAATAGATCATGTCCCCATTTTCGGAGTCATCGAGAGCAGGTTCGTTCTTATACTTTCTATAGTTTTCACCATAGCCTAAGGTAAACATTCTGGCTTATGCCGAATAATGTGTATGGATGAACCAATTTATCTCATAACTGTGGTTAATATCTTGTTCATTTCATGTAAAAACCAACATTCAAGTGCGATTATTTTATTGAAATCCGTCTTCAGTTGGTAATTCATGATTTCATATTATGCCTTTAACATTGCTTCCTGACGGCTGCTTCACAATGCAAAGGACGTGAAATATGATATATTTAACGTCTATCCATTGGATTCTGCAGGCAGAGGCAAAGAAGAGGAAAGCTCAATTGCTGGAAGCTAATAGGAAGAAGAAAAAGGCCATGGCTTGAAATTTAACTTGCGTATACACTTTTATCTTCTGATGCTATGCTCTGATCATGAGACTGCGCAACTTATTGCCATTTAGACATCTGATGTTGGTTTCTCTAGTTTTGCAATTTGTCATTTGATAGACTGGAAACTTGCATGTTTTGTGTAGGGTTGGAAGATGGATAAAATTCCAGTCGAGAAAATGTTTCATTTCATCACGTTTGAGGCTTGTTGAGGCTCCATTCCATCACCATTTGTCTGTAAGGCCGGGTCGAGGAAACTGAATTGGCTTTCCGTCGTAGTCTGTTATGCCAATTCAGTATGATACTAGCAGCCAAGTTTTAGTTTTGTTTAATTACTGCTTTCTTAACCCTAATAGAAATATTTAGCTTTCTTTTTAATGAGTTCTTTTTAACTAGAGTTTTCATCAACTTCTGTTTTGTCAGCCTCGGAATCTGCCCATCTGTTATAACTAAACACAAAAAAGTAACAATGATCACATCAATCAGTAGAAAATATTTCTGAAATCTCCTTTTCAATATACACCAATATATAATATTTCATAAAGTCATCTTCCATTCGACTATGAAAGTTTATTTTCAAAATTTTCATTGTTGAAAAAGCTCACTCTGATGTAACGACAAATGCAGAAAGAGTCAATGTTAGGCGTAGTGGCCTGTCAACTCTGGCTTCTGTTTCCTGCATAAATTTAGCTACTACAATGGGTACCTATTACAACCCCTTTATTTTTATTAAGCATTAATAAAAAAAAAACCATCATACGCGTTGAATAACACCCAAATTGATGTACTTGTATACCCAAGTAACTAATTTATGATACCAATCCCCAAAACTTACAAAATTTATATACAATCCTCAAAATATATGCCTGACATCCTAATCTGGCTAAGGACTCAAATATTGCTATCAGAAGTATAAAATCTATACTAAAGCTGAATTTTCTTCTTTCTTTAAACCATACATTTTCCTCGTTCCCTGAATGACAGCCTGAAACCCTTCTTCCCCTGTAAGTTCTTCAATCTGAATTTGAATCATATTCATCAGGCAACAAAGTCGGGTAACAATTGCGCGGCAAACCTTTTTGGGTTCTCGTATGCAGCAGAAGAGTGAGGTGTGGAAGGGTTTATGGCACCAAACTCATTTGGTTCACCAATATCGAGCCTCCTCCCCATTTGCAGGCTTTGGTTGGGGAGAAAAGTTTGGTGAGTTGCGGACAATGAGAGGTTTTCACAGTGGGGAAGACCAAGAGTGAGTGAAACACCGTTACCAGGGAACCTGGGAGTGAACTGTTCTGTATCGAACTTCGCCATTTCTCCGATAGGATATTGGCCGAAACCTCCCATGAAACACGTATTAGTCCCCATAAATGAGTAGCCCTCTTTGCCAAACTTGATGGAAACCTCGTCGTTTGCCTCTCTTTGCTTGATGTCCATGTTTATTGATGGCACACTAGCTGGGGACTGCAATAGCGCTTCGGTGCTCCTTTGTTTCTTGGGACTTCCTTGGGTGATCCCTTCCAATTCGGATGAGCCAATGAAGGAAAACCCTGACTGGTTTTGTGCATTTCCTTCAAGAAGAGCCATGGAGGAACTTTTAGCCTGGTTCTCTGCTGGTGCTGGACTTTTCTCTGGGACAGTGGATTTGGATGCTGAATCTTCGTTATTCTGTTCTTGCCCCTTGATTTCCTCCAAGTACATCTCTTCAACCATTGGCTTCCAAAGCCGGACTCGAGCATTTATGAACCAATTAGACACCTAAGTTACCACAAAAACATCACCCTTTTAGACATGCCACAATTGTCAATTGGGACAACTCAACAACATGGAATTTAGCCTGACCTGGCTCCTGGTAAGCCCTGTTTGTTTAGCTAGCATGTGTTTGTCTGAGTCTTTAGGATACCTAAAAGGCAAACAAAGAAAATGGGATGCCATTGTTGAAGGAATATCAGTGATGGGAATTGTTGAGAATACTTACGGGTGGAGAAAGTGTTCAAAGAGCCAAGCTCGGAGAACAGAAACTGATCTTTCTGGTAATCCTCTTTGAGGTCTCCAAGCATTGTGTTGGATCATCCCCAGCTGCTGAAGTGCTCTTTGTTGTCGAAGCTGATGATCCACGAACTTGAGCCTCGATCCCTCTGTCTTCCCTCCAAGGCAATCGTCTTCACCTAAGCTCTTGTTTACTCCTCGAATTTGAACTATTATTGCGTCTTTCAAACATCGAAACTGCTTTGAGATGGTCTTTAATGCCAGATCTGTATATGTTTTCGCAGACCCAATTCCAGCTGCTAGCTCAAATGAGGAAATCACAATCTGCATTTGGTGATGGTATTGCCTGTACCTTTGCTCCACCTGGGAAACAATTGAAACTTTAGACTCTGGTGGGTAAGTTTGGTTCATATATTGTATAAAATAAATTTCATGAAATCTAAAGGGGATATCATCAGACTTCAAAATAACTTTTATCCCACTTCTTTCCACGATTCTCTGCGTTACTATTATTATTTAGAACAAATTTTCCTTGGAAAACACTACTTTCCCAAGAAAACAAACTTGTCTTCTTATATGCTTTCACTTTCAAAAACAAAATTCAAAACCAAACCAAACCCACCAATACATATATAATAATAGACATATGATTGTGATGTAGCCTGTAAAATTATATATTTGTATATTATAATACATATAATTTCCAAACCTCATCAAGCATGCTAATTAGCTTTGCTTTCTTCATCTGAATTTCTTGTCTCTCAGCCGTGCTCAGCTCCGCACCGCGCTTCCCACCTGCAGAGTCATCTTCGGCCACCGCCGATGATTCTCCGGTTGCCTTACTGCTATTGCTATTAGTTCCACTAGAACCCTTTTTAGACATTTCACTCTTTGTAATCCCACTATTGTTAACATTAACAACCTCGTCAAGAAGCTCTTGAGCATCCTTCAAATATTTAGAGCTCGACAGGACACTTTGTATACCTGAAACACCGTTGGTCACCGCCGAAACTGAAGCAGCTGAAACCCGCATGTCCTCACCCAAAACTTCTTGACCCTGTGATCCGTAACCCGGTTGCTGTTGGGAAGAAAGGGTCAAAGACAGTCCCTGCTGAGCGCGTCGGGTGTCACGTTCCGGTCCAGAAGGGTCGATAGGGTTGTACAAGTTGTAATGGACGCGCTGTAGGAGGCCATGCAAGGGGGACACCGCGTCTTGGCTGGCACCGGTGGTGGTAGGTAGAGGGATGCCGACGAATTGCTGAGCGTGGGAAGATGGAGCGTTAGGAGAGAGGGAGTTTAGGAAAACCAGGTTGTTTGACGGCTGCGGAGGGGTGTCGGAGTACTGAACATAGGCAGGGTTCATAAGTACGAGGGTCTGAAGATCATCGGCTGTTTGGATTTCGGGGTTCCCATGAAAGTACGTCGCCATCGGATATATATATATATATATATATATATATTTGTGAACAATTCTGCAAAGATCTAAGGGTATTCTCTGTGTTTTCGCTTCACTGAAAAGAAAAAGAAAGAGCAAGTATCAGCAGCTCCATAGTCGGATAGGGTAAAAGAAAATCCATCCATAATTGAGATCAAACAAACTATACAAAACACCAAAAGCTTACACGTGAATCAACCCATTAGAGAAAAGGGATATTGAAGAGAGGCAGTTTCTACTTTCTGAAAAGGGATACACATGGTGTTGGGATCGTCAAGTGAATCCTGGAAAAATCAGAAGAAAGAAATGGAGTGATCTGATAAACCCCACAAAGTTAAAATACAAGTGATTTTGATTGAAAACAAGCCATGTTACTTGTATCACTAGTTCTTCATTTTTATTCTTGAGTGGGAGGAGGAGAGGAGGAAGAAGAAGAAGAAAATGAAAGGTATGGCTTTTATATAATTAAGCTAAGGGAACTAGATGAGGGGAATAGGATAGAGAAAAGGGGTATTGAAAGGAAGATAATCTATTAAATATAGTTAAATAGTAGGGGTATCTGTTGTGAGGCTAATCTAAGTGTGCACGTGCTTCATCATCGTCTTCACTGCAATGAAAAAACATGGTTTTTAGCTCGCAACAACAAAAAGGGGAGAAGCCATGAAAATTAGAGGAAAAAAGTTATATCATTTGAGACGGAAAGAGATAGGGGTATCATGAAGCACCACAGTGAAGTATAGTCTAAAACTACTACCTCTCTGAATATGATTTGGCATCAAAACCAACATCTTAAATTTAGACTCCCTTTTGTCAGACTTAAAATCTCTGCAACTCCTCCAAACTAGAAATTGAAAGGGCAGACCCCATCTTTTTATTCGCATCATTTTCCCAAAAAAATTTCTTTTGGTTGACATGAAATTGAAATCAAGAAATTCTACAAATATTTTGTTTTTGTTTTGGGATTAGAGTAGCAGTGGGCTTGGAATTCTACCAATCCCCCTTGACAAGTACCTGAGAATAGATCAAAAGTAGCAACCTCTGTGATTTGACCCTCCTTTGGCATTTCAATTTTGATGCACAGCAAAATAAAAAGAAAAAAGAAATATGCTTTGTAAGTAATATGAAATGTACAAAATCTGCGTCAGAGTTTACAATCTGGTGAAAAATGGGGAAACCTCTCCTTCCACAAAACAAAGCTTAATTAAAGAAAAGAAAATCATCATAATATATAATTAATGAAACGAATAAAAATCAAAAAGATGATGATGGCCCCACTCCTCCATTCAGCATTAATTTACCTGTTGGACGTTGAAGATAAAGCAATTAAATTAGGAGTAAGGGTCCCACTCACGTGCACGAATATGAATCAAATGCTCCCAAACTCTGCAGGACCCCTCCCATGTTGAGAGATGTCTTTGATAAGGTACCTTGTGAGTATAAACTTGATTTCTCCCTCAATTTCCCTTTCATATTCTGCCCTTCGTCAACCTTTTCACGGCTCCAAAGAGATTCCTAAAACCAAAAGTCTATCTGACCCGATGAGCAACATTTTCAGCAAATTTTACCGTCACTAACAATTATGGTAGCAGCGGTAAAAGAGAGCAGTGACAGTCAGGGTTTTAATCAACTTTCATTCTCACATCTAAACCACATCAGCAGCAGCAGCTATGTTAGTTATTACCAAAGGCAAGAGCCCTAGTTCCCAGGCTTCTTATCTTCAGTTTTCTCATAACAAGGAATGGGACACGATGGATTCCTTCTTCTTAAACTCAACTCATATATGTTTCTGTTAGATACAAATTGATGCAATATTGTGATACTATTACCTTGTCACGTGCATTCAAAAGGAAACATTTTATTAAATCCATGCTGTTGTGTTTATATATGTAATAAACCCTAATTTGATATATCACCATTTCCGAATTTTTGCATGGAAAAAGCGAGAACGTCATTTTCTTGTCAGGCCAAAATACCTGGTTTTCTTGCTACTCTTTTTACCCGCACGCTTCATTATTATTATTTTATAATAAATAACATTAAAGTCCGTAATTTTTTAATAAAATGTATAGTTTTATTAAAATAAAAAATAATAATACGAATTACAATGAATGTTTATAATCTTACACATAATTAGAATATTTTTTGTACCCATTGAGATAATAAATTATACACTTAAGATCAAATAATGACCAAATAACAAAAATGTTAAAAACTCAACCAAAATACTCGAACAAAAATAGATGTGAATAGGTCTGATTGCATCGGTAAATGAATCATAAAAAGAAATCAAAACTACTAAGGACAAACGACAAATCGCATATCAAAGTTGAGCGACGTGAGAAGAATATCCACGAACACAATCGCATATCCAAATCCAATATGAAGGTCCAAAGTAGGAAAGATCATAAGGATAACAAATAAGCGAAGTATTAATCAGTTGAGGTGTCATCAAATCTATCCCTATAAAAAAGATAAAACGAAAAGGACGGTCAAACAATCGATTAAAAAACCGAAAGCGTGTCAAAAGGAAGAGGAAAATGTGCCACGAAGATAAAGAAAAACGTGTCATAAAGATAAAGTTATTGAAAATTAAATATTAAAACTAAATCAAAGATGTAATATAAAAAAAACAAAAAAACAATAAATATCAAATATCAACAACCAATATTAAAATTAATGTCTCTGTCTATTAAATAAAAATTTAAAAATAAGTTTTCAAGCGGCGCGGAGAAACATAGGAGAGGAAACCTATGGGTTAGATTAAAGTGATTATTTATGTTTTCATTTAACGTCCGTAATTTTGATGCTTCACATTTCATGTGAATGTAATCATATGATTGAAACAAACTTTGGTTATTTATTAAAGAAAAGGTTTATATAGGTCATATGTCAGAATCTCAGCCCTATGCCTCGACACTTGACACTCACCTCCCCAATTATATAAATTACCTTTCGTTTCAATTTCTTCACTTTTCTTAACCTTCTCCGGAAAATAATATAATTGTTCTGTTCTAATGTAGTTTATGTCGCTATTGCAACTCTGTTTAGACATAATGAAAGAAAAAATACCAAAAATCTTTGTTGTTGTTTTTATTATTTTATAATATCCTTAATCCTAGTACATTGTCGCATACACATGTTCCCTTAATGGAATCTATTGGATTGAAGAACGCATGAAAGTGGTACACATCACATCGAACTAAAACCCCCAAAATATGTGCTTTTCTTAATTGTAAATCACTTGAATCTCTATCTCTCTCTCTCTTGAATATACTTTTTATTGATTATTTTTTGAGAATATGATAATTAGATTTTATCAGTAAACAACTTTTTATTAAAGAGATATTTTATTATATATAACTGTCGATAAACTAATCAGAAAGTAAATATCCTGAGGATCTTTGTTTGAGCACCAAAACGACTACAAAGATATACAAAAAAAATACCAAGAACATAATGAATGTGTCACAAAAGTAGAGAAAACGTATGTCACAAGGATAAATAAAAACGTGTCATAAGAACAAAAAATCTTATTCAAAATTACAAAAAAATTCAAGAAAATATAAATAAAAAATTTTAGAATAAGAAAAAAATTAATAATCATCGATCGTCAACTATCAACATTAAAATTGATGTTTCCACTAACTAGACAAAGATCATTTGGTTTTCTTTTCTACGATGATACAAGATTGAGTGTAAGAAGTTACGTATGGTATTTGGAATATATGATTTTCGTTAAATTCTAACCATACAATCTTAAACTTTAAATACTATGCTTTAAATCTAATCTCTAAATTTTAAATCTTTAAACCTGAAATCTATAACGTATCACCTTAAACTCGATCGATCATCAACAGATGAGCTTAGGATATAACATTGGGTTGTCAAGATAATCGTTAAATTTAAACCATTTTCATTTCCAATCTAAAATACAATACAATTAATCAAAATAAGACATTCATAAAATTATACAAATATGGAGCTTCGTGACACAATTTAGAAAACTAAATAATAATCAACTCATAATATACAAATCCAAATATAATAATAAAGATCTTATGAATACATATGGCAACTAAAAATAATAGTACAATACCCTGGAAAAAGATACTAAAATTTTTGTCGTGACAGTATATTGTTAACTTGTGAATAGATACATCCTAACGTTAAACACTAAATCAACTCAAGCTACTAACTTGTGAATAGAAGCATCTGAATGCTGAATTTTACAAAATTCAGTAATATATCACTAATCTAGATCAACATTACGAGTTTCACAAACATAAATACGCTAGCATATATGACATTGAATAATAAGCACATGAATGATTCATAATCAAATGTTCTATACATGCTTAGGATTCATCAGTTCTCTTAAAGGTACAAGTTTAATTTTATTTAATTTTCATAATTGATTGATTTAATTACTTTATTTTTTTTCAACTTTTTGAATGTTGACTTTTTATATTCTTTTTAACTTTTTGAATTTATATATTTTTAAGTAGATGATATTTAGATAATACTTGGTTAATCAACTACATCAATTCATGCACAAATACAATTGTTTTTCAATCATTATGTGCCATTATAGATTTGGAGACGGTCACTCTTAAATTTTTTAATTTTTTTATATTTTTTAATTTTATTAATAATTTATTTTTACATTATAAAATTTTATAAATTTATCATCTTTAATATAAAATCATGATATATGCTTTGGGATTTTTCTAATATCCAAACCCTACTAAATTCTACAGTCGTTACTATATTTATGAAAAGGAAAATAACCCCACTTCCACACCTAATTCAAGAGGTAGCTTTAATTTTCGGACCCATTGCTTTTGATTCAGGCCTTTCCTCCACATTCAACAATTGGTTTGTGTTTTTCTTTTTCTCAGAGAACATGCATTCGTAATACTGATGTAATCCTATCATAATTAAGTGGAGCAAAACGAAAAATCTTTTCATAATTAAAGTAATGAAATCAATATATATATCCTAATGGGTTGCATGGACTACTTAGAGCTAAAAGAACACCTCCTTCGGTACTAATCAATCAATCTTCACTCAATTGTGTAATTGAAACGGGTAAAATATACAAACGG